TGATTTTTCAGGCTTTAAATTGCAGTAAGCTGGTGAAATTGTTGACACTGTTACTGTGACCCATAAGTACTTTTCAGATACCTGCAGACTGAGATTTCTGAGGAAGAGCTAGGGCTTGAGAGGATGGAGGGGGTGGGTACAAAACCAGAACCCAAGTCAGGCTTCACTGCATTCAGTAATGCCTTGTCAGGGTGACAGGATCCTCAGCTGAGAAAGCTGTTCCATTTAGCACGAGTGAATAAGCCCACTAACTTTTATTTTATTTTTTAAAGATTTTACTTATTTGAGAGAGAGAGCATGAGCAGAGGGATGAGCTGAGGGATGGGCAGAGGGAGAAGGACCAGCAGACTCCCCGCTGGGCAGGGAGTCTGACACAGGGCCCCATCCCAGGGTCCTGGGATCATGACATGAGCCAAAGGCAGATGCTTAACTGACTGAGCCACCCAGGCGCCCCACACCCACCACCTCTTAAATAAATAAACAAAAACCCCAAACTGTCTTTCAGTGGAGATTTTAAAATAAAAGTGCGCCACACATCTTTTCTTTCTATTCTTAGATGCTTTGTTCATTCATCTCCAACCCAGAAAGTTCCTGGTTTATCTAAGATCCCTGCTGAGCTTTCTTTCAGTCTGGCTTTTCAGCCAGGTTGAATATATTTGAAAAGGGAAAAAAACAATGAGAGACCAAGGCATTTATAAAGAGTCAATCTAGGAGCTAGCCAGGATTAATACCCTAAACTGAATCTGATCCTTGCTGGTTCTATCTGAAGATATGCTAGCATTTATTCCTAAATTATATATTATATTTTTGAATTAATAATTGTAAGTTAAAAACAGACTCTGGACTAATGAGTAAAAAGACCAGTGCCCAAGGGATTAAAAAAAGTCTTAAAAAAATGATTTCTTTGAGAGCGTGGGGAGGGGCAGAGGGAGAGAATCTTCAAGCAGAGTCCCTGCTGACCCATGAAATCATGACCTGAGCCAAAACCAAGAGTCTGGTACTTAATCAACTGAGCCCCCCGGTGTCCCCTGGCGCCCCGCCCCAGATCTTTGTTAGAAAATGAGTTTTCCCAGCTTTTAGGATCGAAGGAATTCCAGTAGTCCTTGAGATTCCTTAGGGATTTTCAGTGTTTTAGATAGCCAATAAAACTTAAGCTTAGCTCACCAGAAGACTAAAATATTAAATTTCTTTATTTCTGGCTTGAATGTTATCAACAAAGTTCTGATTCTCTCATCTAATTATAAATTCTGATCAGTAGTTAAGTGCGTAATTAAAAATAGGAACATTGGGGGCACCTGGGTGTCTCAGTTGTTAAGCGTCTGCCTTTGGCTCAGGTCATGATCCCAGGTTCCTGGGTTTGAGCCCCACATCGGGCTCCCTGCTCAGTGGGAAGCCTGCTTCTCCCTCTCCCACTCCCCCTGCTTGTGTTCCCTCTCTCGCTGTGTCTCTCTCTGTCAAATAAATAAAATCTAAAAAAAAATTATTCAATAAACACAGTTGTAAAATATTTCAAAATGAAAGATCTAGGGGATCATAATGGATAGCGTTACTGATGAGGATAGATTGGGAAGTATTGCTTTAGAGCTGGGGAACCAATGAGTTATATTTTGGTATGTTATCTATGATATGAGTAATGGGCCCTAGCAATTTTTTCCCCCATAGTTCATACTGTGAATGTAAAAGTGGAAATCTTAAACTTGATCATAGTGAAGAAACTTTATAGCTAGAATGTCTTATTACTCTTACAGAAAAATATAATTAAATTGCCTTGACAGGACTTTTTGGTGAAGATGAGTGAATTTGTTACCAAGGTTTTTGAAAGGTTGATTTATTCAGTATAAATATTTAGGCCAGGGTACTGATTTTCTTTTTACCCCATGTCTGTATAGATTCTTCACATTCAGCAACTTTGATTTGTGTGTGTGTGGTGGGGCACAGGACTATTACATAGTCAAGATCATGCCTCTCCTAAAGCATCTTATAGTTTATTAATAGTAAATCAGAATGAAGGGATGTTAAATGGAGACATAAACCACCTGTTATGGGAGTATGGAAGGAATAGTTAAGACTTCAGGGAATCTAGGCAGGCTTTGAGGCAATAACTTTGAAACTTTGCTTTTTTTTAAAAAACTAAGTATTTTCTGTAAGTTTTTTTTTGAAGCTTTGACCAAATGTTATGTCAAAGGCCAAAAAAAAAAAGTGATATTGGGGCGCCTGGGTGGCTCAGATGGTTAAGCGTCTGCCTTCGGCTCAGGTCATGATCCCAGGGTCCTAGGATCAAGTCCCGCATCGGGCTCCCTGCTCCTTGGGAGCCTGCTTCTCCCTCTGCCTCTGTCTCTCTCTCTCTCTGTCTCTCATGAATAAATAAATAAATAAATGTTTAAAAAAAAAAGTGATATTTTAGTTACTGTTGTGCCTTCTTTTAAGGGGCTCAGAACTTTTTTTTTTTAATATTATTTGAGAGCGAGAGGGGGGGGAGAGTCTTTTTTTTTTTTTTTAAAGATTTTATTTATTTATTTGACAGAGAGAGACACAGCGAGAGCAGGAACACAAGCAGGGGGAGTGGAAGAGGGAGAAGCAGGCCTCCCGCGGAGCAGGGAGCCCGATGTGGGACTCGATCCCAGGACCCTGGGATCATGACCTGAGCCGAAGGCAGACGCTTAACGACTGAGCCACCCAGGCACCCGAGGAGGGGAGAGTCTTAAGCACTGAGCGTGGAGCCCAACTCTGGGCTTGATCTCACCACCCTGAGACCACGACCTGAGTGGAAACCAGGAGTTGGACGTTTAAGTGGCTGCACCACCCAGGTACCCCTCAAAACTTCTTAAAGTGAGCTATGAGTAGATCTGGCATCCATATTTTGAATGACTACTGCCTAATTATTGATGTTTTATCCCTTAAGACTAGGATGGCCCACTTGTCTTTTTGTTTATCTCAGGAAAATTAACATTCCCCCTTTCATGCTCAAGAGTATCCTGGTTTGAAGGAAAAATTATGTAGTCATCCCAATTTTTTTAAAGATTTTATTTATTTATTTAATAGAGAGAGAGAGAGACAGCAAGAGAGGGAGCACAAGCAGGGGGAGAGGGAGAAACAGGCTTCCCGCTGAGCAGGGAGCCCCATGCGGGGCTCGATCCCATGACCTGAGCTGAAGGCAGTCGCCCAACCAACTGAGCCACCCAGGTGCCCCTGTAGTCACCCCAATTAAGATTACATGGCTTTTTTAGGGGAAGATTCCATATACTGAATATATGAGAGAGGAAGACATCTTTATCTTTTTGGGCCGTTTTTCCTAACCTTTTAATTTTCATATACTTTGGTATATTAATATACCAAAGTGTAATTAAAAAAATTCAAGGGTGCCTGGGTGGCTCAGTTGGTTAAGCGACTGTCTTCGGCTCGGGTCATGATCCTGGAGTCCCGGGATCGAGTCCCGCTCGGGCTTCCTGCTCAGCGGTGTGTCTCCTTCTCCCTCTGACCCTCTTCCCTCTTGTGCTCTCATTCTCTCTCTCTCAAATAAGTAAATAAAATCTTTAAAAAAATATAAAAAATTCAAAATATGTGTAAGACCTTAGTCAAGAGATAAAAATCTTGTTTATATTATGTAAATCTAAGGAAGCAAGTCAGTAGCCCTCCTTTGTACAAAGTATACTAGAATGTGTTAGATACTAAAAGTATCTAGTTTTTCTCCCTTCTGTTTTCTGCTTTAATTGAAGGGGGAAAAAACAGGTCATTTGAAAAGGATCTAGAAAATACTTAGGTAGGGATAAGACTTCTTTTTTTTTTTTAAGATTTTATTTATTTATTTGACAGAGAGATCGCGGGAGCAGGAACACAAGCAGGGGGAGTGGGAGAGGGAGAAGCAGGCTTCCTGCTGAGCAGGGAGCCCGATGTCCGATGCGGGGCTGAATCCCAGGACCCTGGGATCATGACCTGAGCCGAAGGCAGACGCTTAACGACTGAGCCACCCAGGCGCCCTGGGATAAGACTTCTAAGGGCAAAAAATATCCATTTGGTTATAACTTCTACTTTTAATTATAAGTCTAAATATACCTGAACCAATTGGTAAACTAGCAACAAACCAAGGTCATTATTTTAAAATTAGCTAGCTGAAAAAAAAAATTACAGCTTAAGAGGAACAAATTTTGGCCTGTTATAAATTGGGTCTCGGTTCAGTTTAAGTACCAAGTATGTGAATATCTACTACATGCATAGCACCAGGCTAGTGGTATATGGTATAGCAAATATAAAGAAGCATGTGATTCTGACTTCTCTTGGGAAGGTTTGTGGTATGATTGAGGCTGGATGCCTGGAAGATTTAAATGTGGTGAGGATTAAGAATTAAAAAAAAACTTAAAACCCCCACAAAACTAGAAAGGGCTTTCAATGATTGAAGGGCTAAGGGATGACATTTTAAAATGAACAGAGTAAAAAGAATAAGGTGTATTTAAGATGGGAGTAAACGGACTTCTAAGAGTTAAGAAGGGAGATTTGGAGACATGCTCCAAACTCAGCTTGTCATAAAAGCTGTAGCTTTTGTTCTGTTCTGTTTTTTAAAGTAAGCTCCACACCCAACGTGGGGTTTGAACTCACGACCCCGAGGTCAAGAGTCACATGGTCTACTGACTGTGCCAGCCAGGTGCCCCCCAAAACTGTATCTTTTAAGCATGGAAGATTTGTACAAAACTGATTGAAGAAGGTTGATCTGATGGTCATATAGTACAAGACTTGGAGTAGGAGAAAAATAATTGGAGGATAAAGAACCTCCAACAGAATAGCATAGCACATATGATAGCTGTATTTCTTCTACTAATAAGGGAAATAGGCAAATAAGCCTTCTAGCCTTTTGGTTGACAAATGAGGATGTGAAAACAAGGAAGAATAAAAATATCCAATGAAGCTTGTCATAGGAAAAATATTCTTTATTTAAATAAATAAAAACATGTTAAGATGCCAACAATGATGGAGTTGTTACCTAACACAGTTAAGATTTCCCCAAAGTTTAAGAAAAGACAATAAATTTTCTTTCTGCTGGCTCTTTAATCCATAGCTTCTCCATCAGTTTTTCTGACCTATGGGTAGAAAAAGAACATTAAGGTAATGTCATTTTGAAAGTGTTTTTATGGAAGACCTAACCTTGATGTGCATTAGTTGCATTTCAAATAGAGTTCTAGATAGCTTTTTCTCCACAGTCTGACTTAAAGCCACTGGGACTTTCCCTGCTTTCTATTATGGGGGAAGAAGGACTTAGAATAGAAAATAGGTTTAATTTTTTATTTATTTATATTTTTTAAAGATTATTTATTTGACACAGAGAGACACAGCAAGAGAAGGAACACAAGTAGAGAGAGTGGGAGAGAGAGAAGCAGTTTCTCCGCTGAGCGGGGAGCCTGATGCGGGGCTTGATCCCAGGACCCTGGGATCATGACCTGAGCCGAAGGCAGACGCTTAACCGACTGAGCCACCCAGGCACCCCAATAGGTTTATTTTTTTAAAGAATAAAAGTTTGTCTAAGAATCTTTGAAGATTTAGAATACATTAGTGGTATTAGTTAAAACTGTTAAAAAACTATGTTTAAAAAAGTTACTCTACCTTTTCTCCAGGACTTATAGTTGTTAGGATGTTTGTCATCCATAGTCTCTTTTTTTATGTCTCTTGAGTCACTGTAGATGACAATCAAAAAGGGAAAGTTAGTTGAAGACCAGAACTAGAGATTTAGTCTAGATAACCAGTTCTAGGAGATTTAAATTACTTTATCAAAAATGGTTGATATTATTAAAGGTCAGAGTAGGAATTATTGATTTTGTGCAAGCTTCTGTATTATATAGTTCCTTTGTACTTCCTGTCCCCCTGGGTAACTCCACTGATAGCTTCTCTAACTCTTAGATGTTCCCTTCAAGTTTGTTAGGTTGAGGATCCTTGTTAGTTTATTTCATGTATAGTGTACTAATTATTTATTTTTTATTTATTTTTATTTTTTTAAAAGATTTTATTTATTTGAGAGAGAGAGAGAATGAGAGACAGAGAGCATGAGAGGGAAGAGGGTCAGAGGGAGAAGCAGACCCCCCGCTGAGCAGGGAGCCCGACGCGGGTCTCGATCCCGGGACTCCAGGATCATGACCTGAGCCGAAGGCAGTTGCTTAACCAACTGAGCCACCCAGACACCCTATTTTTTATTTTTTTTAAAAGGGAAGTTTTTTTTTTAAAGATTTTATTTATTTATTTGAGAGAGAGAGTGAGAGAGAGAGAGAGAGAGAGAGCACACGAGAGGGGGGAGGGTCGGAGGGAGAAGCAGACTCCCCGCTGGGCAGGGAGCCTGACACGGGACTCGATCCAGGGACTCCAGGATCATGACCTGAGCCGAAGGCAGTCGCTCAACCAACTGAGCCACCCAGGTGCCCTAGTGTACTAATTATTTTCCCTTCCAAATTTTAGGAATTGGTTTTTTATTCCTTGAAAATCTTACATAGAATTGAGAACCTTGTGTAGTCAAGTCCTTAATGGATTAAAGTCCTAAGTGAGACTTAGGGAGGGAATGGAAGTACTCAGAGCCCATGAGTACAGATCTTTCAAAATTCATAATTGAAGTTTAGGCATTTGCCATGCCTCTGACCTAGTGGCCAGCTCACTTTAAAAGTCAAATTTAAAGGTATTTTGCTCTCTATTCCAATAACTTCTATAAGATGATTTACCTTACCTTTCACAGATCAGCATTTTTGGAGCAAATGTCTTAAGAACAAATGAAGGAGAATGATGAGTGTTATCTAGAAAGAAAGAGAGGATGGAGACATGATACAAGGACTAAGCATTTTTATATTGTTGCAGAGAAAGCCACTGGCGGCAGAGATTTGAATCTCCCTTCCATTGTTGTTGCTGGGAATTGGCTGCTTTGCCAGGGACTGCATTCTTACCAACTTGACTTAGGTATTGTCATATGACTAGTTTTTGCCAATGGAATGTGACTGGAAGTATTTTCTTCGGGGCCAAGATGCTTAAGGGGCACCTGTACCTCCATTCTCTTTTTGTGGCAGTTTGGGAAGCCAAGTGTGGAAGGTGACAGTCACAAGATGAAAAGAGCCTGTGTTCTCAAGCCACGATCCCCATTGAATACTTGCATTGGGCTTTTATACAAGGAAACATCTGTTGTATTAAACCATGATATCAATACAATTTGAACTTTTTCTGTTAAAGGAACTTGCATTACTCTATTATATTCTCTTTTATACTGTGCTACATTTTATTTTTTATTTATTTTATTTTATTTTTTTAAAGATTTATTTATTTGAGAGAGCGAGAATGAGAGAGAGAGGGGGGAGAGAGAGAAAGAGTACATGAGAGGGGGTTGGGTCAGAGGGAGAAGCAGGCTCCTCGCTGAGCAGGGAGCCCCATGCGGGACTCCATCCCGGGACTCAAGGACCATGACCCGAGCCGAAGGCAGTCACTTAACCAACTGAGCCACCCAGGCGCCCCTTATTTTATTTTTTAAAAACAAACATTTTTTTAAGATTTTTATTTTATTTATTTATTTATTTATTTATTTTTAAAGATTTTATTTGTTTATTCATGAGAGACACAGAGAGAGAGAGGCAGAGGGAGAAGCAGGCTCCCAAGGAGCAGGGAGCCCGATGCGGGACCCGATCCCAGGACTCTGGGATCATGACCTGAGCTGAAGGCAGATGCTTAACCATCTGAGCCACCCAGGCACCCTTAAGATTTTTATTTATTTGACACACAGAGAGAGAGAACACAAGCAGGGGGAGAAGGCAGAGGGAGAGGGAAGAGAAGCAGGCTCCCTACTGAGCAGGGAGCCTGATGTGGGCCTCGATCCCAGGATCCCGGGATCATGACCTGAGCCAAAGGCAGTTACTTAACCAACTGAGCCACCCAGGTGCCCTAACGTGCTACATTTTAGAGAAAGGTTATCACTTGAGATAGGATAAACCCAAACCTTTCAGAATACAAGTTTCAATTTATACCAAATACTTTTGTTCTGTGGAAAGTGACCAGATATTGGTAAGATAAGATTCTTTAAACTGTTATAAGTGATTTTAGGTTTTAATTAGACTCCTTTTTGCTGGTTGCCTCTTCAGAGACAGATGAAATTCTCAGATTTGTTGGATTGTTTTGAAGGATTTTGTGGGAGGAGTATTAAGACTTAATTTATCCAGGACTACAGTACTTAATTAGCTACGAAGGACTTGGGGTCCCAGCCTTCATTTATGACTGTTCACTGATTCACCCTTGCTCACCTATGTTCCAGACATCAGGGTCAAGGATCTGATTGGCAGTATTAGAAAGTTTTTCATTTGGTTCCAAACTTGGAGAAATAACCTTTGGAAGATTAAATGGCTCTGAAATAAAGGAGACCAGAAGTTATAGAAGCAGAGTAGAAACTTCCTTTTGTTTTTCATTCCTCTCATTTGGCTAAGACTTCCATAGTTATGAAATATGGAGGGTAGGGGGCAATAGCCCTTGATGTCACTTATCTGCCCCCTCAAATTAAAAAAAAAATGTACCATCATCTATAGCAGTTCTATTGACACAGTTAGCCTCATGATTGAGGCTTGAGCCTTTTGATTGGGACCACATGGCAAGCATTATATTTGCAGTTAGCCATCTTTTTAGCTATCTTTGGATTTTTCTAAAAGAGAAAAAACTCTCGTTAAGTGGCCATTATACAATGCCTGTATTCCACCCTCCATTCCTTTCTGGAAATGCTTAAGACAAACCATTTCCAACATTAAGAACTGCTAAGTGCTATGTATGGTCAGAAGCTTGTTCTTAAAACAAAACAAAACAAAAACAACAACAAAAAAACCTTTAACTTTTTATGTTTTGAGTTTATTTTTCTCGCTCCAGTGACTTAACTTTTTTTTTAAGATTTTATTTATTTATTTGAGAGAGAGAATGAGAGAGAGAGAACATGAGAGGGGGGAGGGTCAGAGGGAGAAGCAGACACCCTGATGAGCAGGGAGTCCGATGTGGGACTCGATCCTGGGACTCCAGAATCATGACCTGAGCCAAAGGCAGTTGCTTAACCAACTGAACCACCCAGGCGCCCCCCCCTTTTTTTTTTTATTAATCAGGAAAACTTACCTTTCTACATGATGCCAGATGGTATTGTAACCTGCTGGCTGGCATCCTGTGGTTTGGGTCATAAGGACATATTTCTAAGGCTTCTGGCTCCATGAGGCCTAAATAGTAGGAACCATGGGTTGGCAAAGAAAGTATTGACATTTAAGATCAGGTAGTTTTGACATAGGCCTACATTCTGTTCTCAAAAGAATAGTGAGAGATGTGGGTATCTTGCTATGAAAGTTTGTGATGACTAAAGCAATAGCCTAGTCAGTTAGGTAATAGGAGAACTTCACTGCTTATATGCCTTGGAAAACCAAAAATTAACATTGTACATATATTAGCCTGTACATATAGGTGGTTTTGAATAGAATTCTTTGCCCTCAAATAGAGTATTAAACAGGCAGGACTCCTTGGAAAGCTCACAGTACTGGGGTATGATGAAGTTTAACACCATCAGCTTGAGTGTTGAGAAAGCAAGGCTGGGGCAGCTGGTTCCTTTACTGTTCAGCATTGCTCCCTCCCATCTCTTTGCCAAATCTATCTAAATTAAGCTCTTTGTTAGAGAAGGATGCTACTTGTCAGATCAGCACAGCCACTTTTGGGGAGAGGGGATCAGAAGAATGAACAGTACCATGTTCAAGTTCAGGCCACTTTATAATTATCTGAGAATGCCAGTCTGCAATCTCTAAAGTTGTAGGTATTAACATATGAAGACTCCTAAAAGTGAACTAAGAATATACCATCTCAAATCTGCCACATTTTACTGCCAATAGGAGGCCTACTTTCCCTTATGGCTAGCTGTCTTTAGCTATCCTAGCAGACATTCACTTCAAGGATTCCCAAGTTTCCAGGCAACAGCTACAACTGAGATTTCTGCAAAGCAGGGACGCATAGTCTGATGGGGGGAAAAGATCAAGGCAGACTGGCATGAGCAGGAAGGATAGAAAAGTGCCTAGAATAGCCCGTTTCAATTCTGCTTTGCATCATGCCTAGGGCATAGACAAAGGGCACAGAGCTAGACTGTTAAATGTCAGATTTTCCTGAGGGCATTTAGATGATTAAGTCCAGGGATTTAGACTCAGGCACCTTTCAGGAATATAAGTCAGGGTGGCTCTTTAAAGCTTACGCTGCATATTAATGATAATACTAGAGCCACAAACACTTATTATAAAGTGAATTGGCTTTCTGGAAAATAAAGGTTGCAGTATAACCCAATGTTGTGTGGTTATCTTTAGATTCTTAAAGATAATAGAAGAAGAGCTTTGATACTATGCCTAATTATTGATAGCTGAATATCCCATGTTGGGAGGCCAAGATAATAATGGAGGCCGTTTGGTTTAATACATGTTAGACTTGGCAAGAGGATTCCAGCTTTGATGCTACCTTGACAGTTAAACCGAGTCTAAAGGTTCTTGAGACCTATCTTATTCTTGAAGCAGTGTCTCTCAAGAATCTGAAGGGAAGTGTCTGAATCTGAAGAGGCAAACAATCCTTCTGTAGGTCAAAACAAGGCAAATAGCTGAAGTTTGGGGAGAGGGAAAGCAAAGTACCTTTGTCAAGTGATGTGAATCAACTTTCTGTTCAAGCTACTCAATTCCTCTTCTCCCAGCATATGGTCTATGGTTTCTCAGAGGTTTGGAAGTTTTTGATGTCATAGTTAAGTCTCACAGAGGTGGATTTCAATCTTGATTGTGCAGGAGAATCACTGAGTAGTTTTAAAGTGACAGATCTTCCAGAACTATTGGATCAGAATCTTCTCAAATGGGGTCTGGCTAACTGTGGCTTTAAAGGAGTTCCCCAGGGGATTCTAATTTGTAGCCAGGGTCACAAGACCCTGCTCTGAGGTAATTAAGCCATCCTCAGGAGGGTTCTTCCAGTTTCCAGGAGGAACTGCTGCAGGATCTTTCCAGTGAAGTTTCTCTAAAGACTACTAGTTGGAATGATTAGTCCCATCTTTAAACCTGGCCTTTTTCTTTATGGGGTGCCAAGTAGAATTTCACAAAAGTGACATAAGCTCACTACATGCTAACAAACCCAAAATTTTACTTTCTTTTTGGCATTCTCAATCCAGCATACCAGGCCTTGAGCCGAATGTTTACAAACACCATATCATCTAACCACTTCTATAGGTATATGAGAGATTACCACTGTTTTATAGATTTGGAAACCAACTCAGTGGTGATAGATACCCTAAAGTTACAAAGCTAGTACATGTTTGGGTGACATGATTAATATTATTTGAGGTAATACATGTAAAGCCCTTAAAGTACGTGGTACATAGTAAATAACTAGGTCATCATGTCACATGTCGTAACTTATTTAATACACGCAATATCTGCATGCGATAGGAACGATTCTCAATATCCTCTGCACTTTGCAGGCAGGGAAACTGGATCAGAGCTGCTAAATGATAGAGTTGGGATGTGGCCTCAAGCTTTCTGGCTCCAGACCTGCGCTCTTTGCCTCTAAGTCATAAGGCTTAGTCCACTGGACTCAACAATATTCAAGACCCAAATTCTGTCTGATGCCAAAATGTAGGCTTTTCTCATATACCAAGTACAAGGAAACAAGTGTTTCCAGGCTCCAGCAATCTCACAGTTCAGCTGAGGTGGCAGGATAATATGAAATAGGCGTATCAAGGTGGGACCTAATTTAGATGTGAGATACATGGTAGAGACCAAGTACTGTTGGAGTGCAGCAAGGGCTCGACTTAGGACTCTTTGAGCCAGATCCAGAAGATTGACTAGGATTTGGGTCAGCTAGAGGGAAAGAATACATACTTAAGTGAGAAAGGCAGAAATGAACATGGCACATGCGCAGTAGACTACTAGGTTGGGGAGTATATATATTAGGGAACACTGATCTAGTTTGTTCCTGTTCCCTAATATATATTCCCCAACCTAGCAGGGAATATTAGGGAACAGGAACAAACTAGATCAGCTTTGTAGGGAGAGTCAACAAAATTTTCAGGAGGATAAGAAATGTGAGTGAAAAAGATCCAGTAGAACTATACTAACCTGTTAAGAAGGCTGCGGCTGTACTAGGGCTCAGCTTCCTAGGAGCTGGTGCCTAACTGCCTGCTCTTAATCTCCCCCATCAATGTGAAAGACCAATAGAAATCCCGCAAATGCCTGTAGTAGAACCTGGGTTTCTTTGATAACAGCAGGTGATTCAAATCTTTGGGGCCAATAGTACCTTATGCCAGACCTCTAACCTTCTAGGGACTCTATCCAGTAAATAAATTGAAAGGCAGATTCTATTTTCCGAAAGTGTAAAGTTTCCATTAGAGATGTTTGAAATTTCATGTGTTAAGCACTGCCATCTTTAAAAAATATATTCTCTTGGGAACAAACATATTAAGTTTATGTATTTAAGCTTATTTAAGTTTCTGTATATAATACTAATCAGCTCCCCCCCATCCCTCCACCCCAGGGTTTACTGGGATAATGTAAGAGCCCTGGATATGGAAAATGAGAATGGTTGAAAAGCGGAGAAAAGGCATTGGAAAGGAAGTACATATAAAGACAAATCAATGTAGAATTTTTCTGAGGACCTTCTGCTTCTTGCCTTGAAAGAAACTTGAAAGTGAGTCTGTTTTGGGCGCCTGGGTGGCTCAGTTGGTTGAACGACTGCCTTCGGCTCAGGTCATGATCCTGGAGTCCCGGGATCGAGTCCCACATCGGGCTCCCTGCTCAGCGGGGAGTCTGCTTCTCTCTCTGACCCTCTTCCCTCTCGTGCTTTCTATCTCTCATTCTCTCTCTCTCTGAAATAAATAAATAAAATTAAAAAAAAAAAAAAGAAAGTGAGTCTGTTTTCTTGAATTAGGGAGCTAAGGCCAGGTTGGAATGGCAATAATAGTGTAGTGCTAAAATTCATTCAGTCCCCTAAGATTTAAAGTCTATTAGGGTGCTTGGGTGGCTCAGTCATTAAGTGTCTGCCTTAGGCTCAAGTCGTGGTCCCGGGGTCCTGGGGTTGAGCCCCGCATCGGGCTCCCTGCTCAGCGGAAAGCCTGCTTCTCCCTCTCCCACTCTGCCTGCTTGTGTTCCCTCTTTCGCTCTCTGTCAAATAAATAAATAAAATCTTTAAAAAAAATAAAGTCTACTAATAATTTCCTCTTGTTAATCTCAGTTAATTTGATTCTTCATGGGGCTATTTCCCAAGTTAGTCTTTTTTTTTTAAGATTTTATTTATTTATTTGACTGAGAGAGATATAGCAAGAGAGGGAACACAAGCAGGGGGAATGGGAGAGGGAGAAGCAGGCTTCCCGCCGAGCAGGTAGCCCGATGCAGGGCTCGATCCCAGGACCCTGGGACCATGACCTGAGCCTAAGGCAGACACTTAATGGCTGAGCCACCCAGGTGCCCCTTCGCAAGTTAGTCTTGATAATTCAACAAATAAATCAGCATATTTACTGAGTGGTTACTGGGTCCAAGAGATTAGTGTTTCTCAACATGTACCCGACAGAACATTTGTCTTAAAACCTTCCAGGGTACTTACAAATGCAGATTTCTAGGCCCAACTGCAGACTTCCTAATCCTGAATCTCAGGGGATAGGGATTGATCTCAATTTCCTAAGCATCTTTAAGAAGGTGGACTAGAGGGGTGCCTGGTGGTTCAGTCAGTTAAGTGTCTGCCTTCCGCTCAGGCTCAGGTCATGATCTCAGGGTCCTGGGATTGAGCCCCACATCTGGCTCCCTGCTCAGCGGGGAGTCTGCTTCTCCCTCTCCCTCTGCCCCCCTCCCTCCTGTTCGTGCTCTCTCTCTCAAATTAAAAAAAAAAATCTTAAAAAAAAGAACTATTGTACTAGAGCTGTGGTTCTCAAACTTGAGAAGGCATTGGCATTACCTGGAAGGCTTTTGGAAACAGAGTGCTGGACCCTACCCCAGAGTTTTGGAGTTAGTCGGTCTGGGGTGGGTCCTGAGAATTTGCATGTCTAACAAGTTTCAAGGTGATGCTGATATGACTACACTTTAAGAATCACTGTACTAGGGCACCTGGGTGGCTCAGATGGTTAAGCGTCTGCCTTCAGCTCAGGTCATGATCCCAGGGTCCTGGGATTGAGTCCCGCATCGGGCTTCCTGCTAGGTGGGGAGCCTGCTTCTCCCTCTGTCTCTGCCTCTCTCTCTCTCTCTCTCTCTCTGGCTCTCATGAATAAATAAAAAAAAAAGAATCACTGTACTAGAGTATTATGAAAGATATAAAAAATATTAGATACAATTCCTATCATTAGGGGCTTATGATGTAGTAGGGGGAAATAAGATATATACCTAAAAATATAGTGAAGAATATGGTGTTCTGTATAATATTTGACACTAGATGGGGTAATGAGGAAGAGTTGGGATTTAATCTGGGCCCTAAAAGATGGCTAGACCTAAGGTTCAGCTGAGAATAACAGACATTCTTGATGGGGATATATAAAAGAGGAAGTAGTATAAAGGTGTATGGGAGTGGGGAGGGTCGATCCTTTTTTGTCTGGTGTTGAGCTTTTTATAGGACACTGGTGAAGGGTTAAGGCCAAAAAGGTTGGTACCAGACTGTGGGAGAGCCTTGAGAGCCTGTCCCTCTCCCCTGCCTCCACCCGCTTTTCAGTCTTACCAAAAGTGCTGCACTGCTAGAAAGAGGAAATGTCTCCTGCTGAGTGTGCAAGAGGAAGCACAAGAAGATTCTGAAGGTCTGTGAGCCGTAATGACTACTTTCACATGAGCCAATTGTAGAGGCAACAGGAAGACCAGCGCACCAACCAGGCTGGGTCCCTCCGCCCAGGGGGTGTCACCACCCAAGCTGAAAGTGTTTGGGGAGATTAGACATTGCTGTCCGGATACTCCTCTCTCTTGGTGGCCATCATGTCTTTGACCTCTGCCTACCAGCATAAATTAGCCGAGAAGCTCACTATCCTGAATGATCGAGGTCAGGGGGTTCTCATCCGCATGTATAACATCAAGAAGGTAAGCATGAGCAACTGGACTTGTACCACTTATTCCAGCAAGAGTAGAACAGGGGACCCTGAGGCCGGCAGTTCCAGGGGTTAGACTCCCTCTTCTTTCCTCGCTGGTTTTAACTGGCCTTCAGTCACTCGGATTACATAGGCCAGCCAGTGCTGGGAGGCAGAAGGGGAGGCTTTTTCTAGGTATGAATCTTACCCCAGTGAGAGTGTCTGGTATACGGGGTATACGGGGGTAGGAAATAATTTTGTTCTGAGTCACTTGAATAAAGGTCTGGGGTCTAGAATTCTGGGTCTCATTGTTTATTGCTGATCCCCCATACTCTGAATATATCCAAAGTGGAGTCTATGGCAAAAACTTTCCCATGGAAGTACTTCCCTCCAAGGAAAAAGTAGATATGATATTTCAATAAAATATGGGTAGATGCCTTCTGAGGTACTCAGTGTCTGAGAGTTCATGCTGCAATTGTGTGTGTGTGCTTAGGATAGGAACTGTGGAATTGAGAGATGCTGGGGACAAGATCAGGCTAGGGGGTGAGGGGCTGGGCCTAGGGAAGTGAAGAGATAAAGATGGGCAAGAGTGGGGAGTTTTTGAAAGAGAAAACAGGGAGAGGGAACTTTTGCGTATTTTATAATAAAACAAATCACCAGGAACATGGTTTCTCTGACCCCACGTCCCCCACAAACACTCTTTGGGATGAGATACTTACATATGGACATTGTGACACACTTACCCGTGAAGTCTAACCCCCAAGCAGCTGCTTTTCTCCTTCCGGCTTCAGCTGAGGGGTGGGGAAAGAGCTTCCTCTTTGTACTGGGGCTGAGCAGACACTGAACTCCTCTTGGTAAGACAAGATACCCAGGTTGTTCAGCTCTACTGATAGTTGGCTTCATGCCCTGAAGCTTGTTTCTCATCTACTGTTATGCTTTTGTAATGAATTCCCAGATTCCCTTTCCATAAGAGAGACTGTGTGTAAATGAATGCAGCAGGAAGAAGTATGTTTGGAGTGGTGGGAGAAAGGGTTAAAATATAGTGTGTTTTACTGGTGCAGACTTGTTCAGACCCCAAATCCAAACCACCTTTCTTACTGGAAAAGTCCATGGAATCTTCTCTCAAGTACATCAACAAGAAATTTCCCAACATAGATGTCCGAAACAGCACGGTGAGAACATGGTCCCCCCTGCCCCTTTCTCTGAAATAACTTTACACTTGTGTGGCTTAAGCTCTCCTCTTTTGACTGCCTTTCTTTGAAGTTGGCAAGGGATGGAGTAGCCTTCTTTTAGTTTTCCTGGGCTCAGTCACAGAGCTTCAGGTTCTTGTAGTCTTGAGAATTCTGAGATAAGATGGGATTCTCACAGGGTAGGTTAGAATAAAGCATTGCCCCTTTCTCCATTGCAAGATTCACAAGAACACCTTGTCCTTGTAGAGGAAGACAGTTTGATCAACCCAGCAGGGTGAATATATTTTCTGCTGTTCCTGTTTCCAACTTAGTGTTTCCTTGCTAATTATCTTAGTTATGCATCTCATGAACCATCCCTTACTTCTCCCCTATTAAATGTTAGCCCTAGATTTCTTACCATTGTACCTGTAGCATCTTCTCACTCTGCCTCTTTTGACTTTAGTATAAATGGTAAGCTTCCTTGATTGAAAGGGATCTTGAAATTTCCTCTCATTTAGCATTCTGTATCTAGTCAGGATCACATGCATCATTCTTTCTAGAGAATCTCCTCTGTTTAAGACCTTCAGAGTATTGGATATTTTCCAACTTTGCCAGTGTATTTCAAGCCTCTTCAAGACGTTTTAGGTAGGAGTGCTTGGATGGCTCAGTCGGTTGAGTGTCTGCTTTTCGCTGGGGTCTTGATCCCAGGTCCTGGGATTGAGCCCCACATCAGTCTCCCTGCTCAGGAGGGAGCCTCCTTCTCCCTCTCCCTCTGCCATTTCCCCTGCTTGTGCTCTCTCTCTTTCAAATAAATAAATGAAATCTTAAAAAAAAAAGAATGTTTTAGGTATAACTCCTATTCTTCTTGGGTTACTTTGATCAATTGTCTTCTTATTTTGTGTTTTAAAATTTTTGTTTTGTGTTTCTCTCAGCAACATTTAGGACCAGTACATCGGGAAAAATCTGAGATAATTAGATTTCTCACCAACTACTACCAGTCATTTGTGGATGTCATGGAATTTCGGGTGAGCTCTCCCAGCCCAGGTCCCCAATGTAGGCATTATCTGTCAGAGGTTATTCCTTCTTTAGTAGATGTTCATTTTTTAAAAAAGATTCTATTTACATATTTAGCCCATGAGTGGGGGGAGGGGCAGAGGAAGAGGGAGAGAGAGAATCTCAAGCAGGAGCCCAATGTGGGACTCCATCTCACGACCCTGAGATTATGACTTGAGCTGAAATCAAGAGTCGGATGCTTAACCAACTGAGCCACTCAGATGCCCCTAGTTGATGTTCATTTATGTTGCAAGTTACACAATAGTGTCTGATATAATTATATTTCATTTAAAAGGATACGTAGGCTTATACACATAGTATGTACATAGGAAAGACTTGGAACATTTTACATGAAACTGTTAGAAATAACTACCTTTGGGGTGAATTATGATCAGCTTTAATTTATTAAACTATACTTTTTTTAAGATTTTTATTTATTTATTTGACAGAGAGAAAGACAACGAGAGAGGGAACACAAGCAGGGGGAGTGTGAGAGGGAGAAGCAGGCTTCCCATGGAGCAGGGAGCCTGATGCGGGGCTTGATCCCAGGACCTTGGGATCACGACCTGAGCCAAAGGCAGACGCTCAATGACTGAGCCACCCAGGTGCCCCTAAACTATACATTTTTAAGTATTATTAAGTATTCATGTATTTTAAGTATGATTCCCTAATATTTTATTACAAATCTACTGAAAAATTTCAGGAGTATTACAATGAATATTCTTCTACTCTTCTCCTGGAGTTCCTAATCATTAGTATTTTGTCATGTTTGCTTATCTTTATTTTTTTCCTGAACCATTTGAGTTAGTTGCAGATATTATGACATTTCCCTTCCTAAATACTTTAGCATATATCTAAGAACAAGAATATTTTCTTACATAACCCTAAAGCAATTATCTCACTCAGGAAATGTAACATTGTTACAATATTATTAGTTTTAATGTATAGCCCATGTTCGCATTCTCATGGATAATACATTGAATACATTGTCATGTCTCTGTAGTCTTTAGAATAGTTCCCAGCCTTTTTTTTTTTTTTTTTTGGCTTTTATGACACTGACCTTTTTGAAGAGTCCAAACTAGTTATTTTTCAGAATATTCCTCAGTTTGGATTTGTATGATTTGTTAATTGTCTGGTTGTAATATTTGGTAGCAATACTATATAGTGATATTTTTATTTGAGTTTTAAATAAGGAGCAGGAACTATTTTTGTAAATGTAAACCAACTGTAAGAATTATTTGGCATTAATGTTTTTGAAGGGCAAATTGATAATGTGTTTCAAAAGTCTTAAAAACACATGCTTTTTAATGTATCAATTTTACTTCTAGAAATTATTTTTTTTTAAAGATTTTATTTATTTATTTGACAGAGAGAGACACAGCGAGAGAGGGAACACAAGCAGAGGGAGTGGGAGAGGGAGAAGCAGGCTTCCCGCGGAGCAGGGAGCCCGATGCGGGGCTCGATCCCAGGACCCCGGGATCATGACCTGAGCCGAAGGCAGATGCTTAACGACCGAGCCACCCAGGCGCCCCTGTAGAAATTATTCTTAAGGAAACAATCAGAAGTGCAAAGTTATATAAAAGAATGTACTCTTGGGGTGCCTGGGTGACTCAGTCGGTTAAGCATCTGCCTTCGGCTCAGTTCATGATCCTGGGGTCCTGGGATCAAGCCCCTTGTTGGGCTCCCTGCTCCGCGGGAAGCCTGCTTTGGGCGCCCTGTGTCTACCCAAGGGGGCTAATCCAAGCCACTCAACACACAATGAAGAGAGAAGTGGGGCCAAGGAAAACTGTAAAATCTGAAGGAGGGTCAAGTCAGAAGTTATTAATCTTGGAATTGAGAGTAGTGGTTAGGAAGAAGGTAGGCACTGGTGGGGGTGGTTAAAAGAATGCTGGATGCCGGGGCGCCTGGGTGGCTCAGTCGGTTAAGCGGCTGCCTTCGGCTCCGGTCATGATCCCAGGGTCCTGGGATCGAGCCCCATGTCCGGCTCCCTGCTCAGCAGAGAGCCTGCTTCTCCCTCTCCCTCTGCCTGCCACTCTGCCTACTTGTGCTCTCTCTCTCTCTGTCAAATAAATAAATAAAATCTTAAAAAAAAAAAAAGAAAAGAAAAATACCAATCTATAAAAAAAGAATGCTGGATGCCTATAAAGAAGCCTCTCACTAGGAAAGGTTGGAGTCCAAAGGGGATTTTAGGACACTGCTGGTTGCTGCACTGGTAAAGTTCGGAGCCCAGGGTGTATGGTATGGCTCATTTAGGGCAAGAGGGATAATAGAGACACTGAGGTGTTGTGCATTGTAAGGTAGATAGGCTCTGAATCAGACAGACCTGGTTTCAAATCTCAGCTTAAACACTTACCAGATGTAAGACTTTAGACAAGAATACCAGTTTCTTTATCTATAAAATGGGGAAATAAGATTTACTATGTGAGGTATTTGTGAGAATTAAATGAGATAATGCATGGGAAACATCTAGCTTAGTGTTGAGCATATAGTAAGCTTAGAAGGCCAACAAATGTTAATTCCATTCTCTTCTGATTCTTACCTTTAAGAGGATAAGACTTATGTAGTGACATTGTGTGAGTGGCTGAAAGCAAACCTCAGCTAAAACCTGTGGGAATTGGGTTGCAAGAAGGGGTTGTAGAAAGGCCCTCCCAGTAACTGAAGTCACATAGAGCTAGACAGGTTCAGAAGTCATGTAGTATAGAGGGGAAAATCATGGGCTCCATGTTCTAATTCTGGTACAATCCCTTACTAGTTTTTGATCATGCGTAAGTATCTTAACTGCTCCTAGCTTTAGTTTCTCCATGAGTTAATTTAGATAAGGCCTTTTGGGGAAGATAATATGGAAACATTTTTTCCCCATTTTAAAAAATTTGACAAATATATACACCTATGTAACAACCACCACAGTGACAGTATAGAAAATTACCACTGGGTGCCTGGGTGGCTCAGGCAGTTAAGCATCTGCCTTCGGCTCAGGTCATGATCCTGGGGTCCTGGGATGGAGCCCCACATCGGGCTCCCTGCTGAGCAGGGAGCCTGCTTCTCCCTCTGCCTCTCTCTGTCTCTCATGAATAAATAAATAAAATCTTAAAAAAAAATTTCCATCACCCCCAAATGTTCTCTGAGCCTTTTTTCCCCCAGTCAATCCCTGCCTCCCCAAACCCTGGTCCTAGGCAACCATTTTTTTTTTTTTTTAAAGATTTTATTTATTTGACAGAGAGAGACACAGTGAGAGAGGGAACACAAGCAGGGGAAGTGGGAGAGGGAGAAGCAGGCTTCCTGCTTCCCGTAGGCAACCATTAATGTGCTTTCTAGATTAGAATTTTCTTCTCTGGGGTGCCTGGGTGGCTCAGTCGGTTAAGCGGCTGCCTTCGGCTCAGGTCATGATCCCAGGGTCCTGGGATTGAGCCCCGCATCGGGCTCCCTGCTCGGCAGAGAGCCTGCTTCTCCCTCTCCCTCTGTCTGCTGCTCTGCCTACTTGTGCTCTCTCTCTATCTCTGTTACATAAATAAAAATCTTAAAAAAAAAAAATAGAATTTTCTTCTCTTTTCTAGAGGTTCATATAATTAGAATTTATACAGTATGCATTCCTTTATGTCTGGCTTCTTTCGCTCAGTATAATGTTTTTGAGATTTTATCTATGCTGTTTCATGTAACTACAATTCAATTCCTATGTTTTTAAAAAGATTTTATTTATTTCTTAGAGAGAGAGAGACCACAAAAGGGGTAGGGTCAGAGGGAGAAGCAGACTCCCCGCTAAGCAGGGAGCCTGATGGGGGACTCGATCCTGGGACTCAGGGATCATGACCTGAGCCAAAGGAAGTCACTTAACCAACTGAGCCACCCAGGCACCCTCATTTCCTATTTTTGTTGAGTACTATTCCATTGTATGGATACAATTTACCCATTTACCTGTTGATGGACATTTGGGTTGTGTCCATTATGCATATTTTTGGCCATTATGCACAAGATGCTATACACATTTGAGTATAAATCATTGTGGGAATGTATTTTTCATTTCACTTGGGTAAATAATTTAGAAGTTGAATTGCTAAATCAAATGGTATGTATGTGTTTAATTTTATAGGAAACTGCCAAACTTTTCGCCAAAGTCATTGTTCCATTTTCTCTTCTTGACAGCAATATGTTAGTATTCCAGTTGTTCCCCATTTTCATCAGCACTTACTATTATCAGACTTAACTTTTAGCCATTCTCATGGGTATATGATGGTATCTTGTTTTAATTTGCATTTCCCTGACAACTAATCTTCTTGAACATCTTTTCATTTACTTATTGGCCATTTGTATAAAGATCTGCTCAAGTCTTTGGCAACGTATTTTTTTCTTTAAATTTTTTATTGTTATGTTAATCACCATACATTACATCATTAGTTTTTTTTCCTGTCATTATTTATTTATTTATTTAATTTAATTTTTAAAAATAATTTTTATTGTTATGTTAATCACCATACATTACATCATTAGTTTTTGATGTAGTGTTCCATGATTCATTGTTTGTGTATAACACCCCGTGCTCCATGCAGAACATGGCAACGTATTTTTAAAATAAAAATATATATACTTTTTGATCTAGCAGTTCCGCTTTTGTAAAAATGAAAGTACCAATATGGCAGGAATAGGGAACAAAGGATAGGCCAGGAATTGGGAAAAAAGCAAACGTCCATTAGTGAGAAAAAGGCTGAATGAATTGGCCATACCATGGGCTATTATGTGGCCATTAAAAAGAAGGGCTTTAGTGTTCTACCAGATGACTTGGAGGACTTTCAGCAGGTAAGGTTGAATGAGAAAAGCAATATGGCAAGAAGAGTACAATATTATCTCAATTTTGTAACACAAATGATGATCAAAAAACCTGTCTCTCTAGCTCTTTCTTTTTTCCCCCCTCTATCTGAATAGAATTGTATAAATAGGGATAAAATTAAGAAAGGCCATACTGGGTTGTTAAACTGGTTTACCTGGGGGTTGGTACAGGATGGAGGGTGGGTGCTAATGTCGGGGGGAGGGAGGTATCCACAATAAAACCGCATATTTATTTAGGTAAAATTATGTATGAAAAGAAAAAAATCCCTATCACGCTGGAATGAGGGTTAAAGGAAGTATATACAAATGACCTAGTAAGTATTTAGCACATAGTAGGTGGTCAGTAAATAGAAACACATAGAAAGTTGGGTAGTATTCCCACTTGTTAATGATTAATTTCTGAGAGCAGGAGATGGAATCCAAGAACAAACTTTGGGATTCATCAATAAAAATGGGCCTGATTTCTGGTATCTTAGAAAGAGCCTGTAAGGATGCAGAGAAAGGGGAACCCTCTTACACTGCTGATGGAAATGCAAGCCGGTACAGCCACTCTGGAAAACAGTATGGAGGTTCCGCAAAAAGTTAAAAATAGAGCTACCCTACGACCCAGCAATTGTACTATTGGGTATTTACCCCAAAGATACAAATGTAGTGACCTGAAGGGGCACCTACACTCCAATGTTTATAGCAACAATGTCCACAATAGCCAAACTATGGAAAGAGCCCAGATGTCCATCGACAGATGAATGGAGAAAGAAGATGTGGGATATATACACAGTGGACTATTACTCAGCAATCAAAAAAAAAAAAAGAAAGAAAGAAAATGAAATCTTGCCATTTGCAATGATGTAGATAGAACTAGAAGGTATTATGCTAAGCAAAATAAGTCAATTAGAGAAAGACAATTATCATAGGATTTCACTCATATGTGGAATTTAAGAAACAAAACAGAGGAGCATAGAGGAAGGGAGGGAAAAATAAAACAAGATGAAACCAGAGAGGGAGACAAACCATAAGAGACTCTTAACCATAGGAAACAAACTGAGGGTTGCTGGAGGGGAGGGGGGTAGGGGGATGGGGTAACTGGGTGATGAGCTTTAAGGAAGGCATGTGATGTAATGAGCATGGGATGTTATATACAACTGATGAATCGCTGAACTCTACTTCTGAAACTAATAATGCACTATATGTTAATTATTGAATTTAAATAAAATAAAAAGAGCCTATCAGATGATCTTCATTTTATAATCTTTTTTTGTGGAGGAAGGGGACACTGGGATGATAAAATCAGAGAGAGTGTGCATAATATAGCAGTGACTTGTGCCTTTGGAAACATGAGCATATTGTAGAGTAAGCTTGATAGAGGTCCACTGCTGGCTTTCTGAGAAGGAACTCCCTCTATTCAGCAATGTTTCCCTTGTGTTATTTGGTGGCTGTCTGGGACCTATAAGGGAGAGAAACTTTCCCTTAAAATTCTGGTAGTACATGTCATCTTCTCTTTATCCTTTATTCATTCTCATTTCCAATTCTACCCCCAGGATCATGTATATGAACTCCTCAACACCATTGATGCCTGCCAGTGCCATTTTGATATTGTAAGATTCTTTGTAATTCTCTTCTATCCTCAGAGCCATTGAAAAGTTCTTGGTTGGGACAGTGTGGGTTGGGAACTGGAGGAATGGCTATTCCTTCAGGATTATGATATAATATAATATATAATATAATATATAACAATATACTGTATTATTCATTCTAGGACTGTAATTCTTTTATATCAAGTGCTAAAGTTAAAGTATATATGTGTTAAGTAAATCAGAAGTATGATTTAACATAAAAATTATACAAAAATGTTCTTATTGCACCTCTTCTAACCTCCAGATGCTACCATATCTCCTGGCCTTTTTGTACCTTGAGCTCACTTTTAAACCCTGACTGTTGTTCCAATGGTCTCCTTCTGAATTTTCCATCCTGCCAGTCTTCCTTCTAAAGCGACCCTTTCAAAGTCTGTTTGGCACTATCTATAATGGTTGTTGAAATGGCGATTAATTGACCTTGCTATTCTTGGGTTCTTATGTATTTTCCTTGTAGAATCTCAACTTTGACTTCACTCGGAGTTACCTGGACTTGATTGTGACTTACACCTCAGTTATTTTACTTCTGTCACGGATTGAGGACCGCCGAGTCCTCATCGGCATGTACAACTGTGCCCATGAGATGCTGCATGGGCACGGGTGAGTGAAGGGGATATAGGAAATGAAGAATCTCACACATGGTGGTATGAAGTACAAGGTGGATGCAAAGGAAATAGAAGCCATGTTTTCTCATTTGAGAACCTGTAATCTGCATGATGATCCAGGCAAAATAAAAACACTTTAAATACTTATAATGGCATACACATCAACAAGTATACTGCACTTTTACATATAGTTAACTCTTGAATATCTGCTAGTGGATTATCCAATTTGCATTGTGTCTGATCAGTTTTTAATCCTGGGCTGGCTTCCATGGTGCTTTTCAGGTTATTGTAAAAGGAAACGAAAGTTTTTTTTTAAGTATTGGTAAGAATAATATTAGCAAGGTAAAGCCATTAGAGGTAAGTAATGTACAATAATACATTTGAAGCCAAATATAAATGGATTTTGGATTATCTGAAATTCTGTGCCCCTCCATTAGTGCAAATAATAAAAGTATTTAAGGGCTGAAAAAATAAAGACCAGAGGGATCAGAGGAGGCTGTGACACATTGTTCTATGTATGATGTGTATTCCCATGTGTCTACATGAATACCTAGGCACATGCCTTACCCATTAGCTTTGAATGTATATATATCTTTTTGGGTTGTATACAAATTTGGGTCTAGGCATATCACTAGAATTATGACTAATCAACATGAATTCATAGAGTACCTAACATGTGTTCAACACCATTTTGGGTGCTTACAAGGAAGAAACTTTCATGGACCTGCCCCAAATTATGTAGTTCTGTCTAATAGCTTAACGCACCAGGGCCTGGAATGGGTTATCTATATATGTAATTCACAGTTCAGTATAGATATCTTTGGAGGTGGAGGGGAATGCCAGCCTATGCACATGTCTTTATCCTACATGCAAACACGAGAGTTTACATCATGGTTAAGGGAGACCTGTAACTCTTCTTGCCTATGCTTTCTTCCAGTGACCCCAGTTTTGCCCGTCTGGGGCAGATGGTCTTAGAGTATGACCACCCTCTGAAGAAGCTGACAGAGGAGTTTGGGCCTCACACAAAGGCAAGTTCCCTGAGCGAGTGGGGAATTCCTGCAGCGGAAGTATATCATCCTCATCATTGACACTAAGGATTCATTTGTTTCTCCCCCCAGGCTGTGAGTGAAGCCCTCCTCTCTTTGCATTTCCTTTTCGTCCGGAGGAACCAGGGGGCTGAGCAGTGGCGCAGTGCCCAGCTGCTGAGTCTCATCAGCACCCCCCCAGCCATGATCAACCCTGCTAATTCAGACACAGTATGTTCCCTTCTCCTCTTGTCAGTGATGGCATTCTCTTTGCCAAGGCCATCTCTGTAGAGAGTGCTTCTTTCAGGAAATAGCATCTCTAAGAGTGCTTTAAGCCTCTTCTAGGATGTGCATCTAAGTTGATCACCTCTTGTAGCTAAAACTCATGGTTGGGTTGGAGCTTTTGTTTGGACCAGGATTAGTGTGTGCTTGCCCATAGAAAGAATTTAATAACTAATCATAGAATGAATGGGTAGATGAAACTGAGTCATTAGACACTATTCAGCCTAGCAGGAACTTGAACATAGGTGTCAATTAACACATATTTTTGTTCAATTACTATGGGCCCAACATCCATGCTTAAAGAACTTAGAGTCTTGTAAGGGAATATATGCCATATAGTCATAAAAATATAAGGGATGGTACAAGATGAATGAGAAATGCCAAATGAGTGATTTCCACTTTAAGTGGTAAAAGAATCCGAAGGAGGGAGAAATCATGAGAATGTTTTGAGTATTTGAAAATGCAAATTTTCTGAACTATTGAAGAGAAGTTATATTAAACCTTTTATTTGTCCTGACTTCCAGCCCAACCTCCTCTTCCTTTTCTCAACTGCATTTGTTTTTCCTCAGCCCACTTCTGGTTGCCTCACCTCTATTATTGGCAGGTTCCCCAACTACTGGCTTATCACAGTGCCCTGATCCAGTCTGGTAAAATAAAAGTTGGTTTTGGCACTTAAATTCCAGCTTGACTGCCCTTGTCTTGACGGCCTTAGTCTTTAGGGGGAGACCAAGTTCAGTAACGGCTTGACCGTCTCTGCCTCCCTTCTCACAGATGGCCTGTGAGTACCTGTCTGTGGAAGTGATGGAGCGCTGGATTATCAGTAAGTTTTGTGGGATGAGGTGGGAATCGATGAAGCAGCAATTTACATGGATAGAAAATTCTAAAAGTCTTCCTCTGCACTGTTTCACCCACCTGCAGTTGGGTTTCTTCTTTGTAATGCCTGCCTCAACTCCAATAGCCAGTGCCAGAAGCTGTGGAAGCTGTGTCTGCAGGGCTCCCTGTACATCACCCTCATCCGGGAGGACGTGCTGCAGGTGCACAAGGTCACCGAGGACTTATTTAGCAGTTGGAAAGGGTGAGACACGAGAGCCAGCTGATCTTATTGTGAGAGTTTTTTAGGGGTCTTCAGAAGAGGGAAGACAGAAATCAAGGGAAGAAAGCATTCTTAGGAGAAATGATCGGTTATCTACATTAGATGACATTGACAGGTCAAAGAAAGTAAGGATTGAAAAATGTTCATTGGATTTGGCTATAAAGATGGTCTCAGGGTCTTTCCTGTGGACAACTTCAGTTGAATGCTGAGGTTGAAAGCTGGGTTGTGGTAGGTTTAGAAGCAAATGGGAGATAACAAATTTAATAAGTAAGTCTTTTAAGAAGTTTTTGAAGGGAAGAATAGAGAACTATAAAGAGAAGGAGGTGTTGGATTGAGGAAGGGGTCAAATACCTTCATTATTTTTTATAGTTGTAAACTAAAATCCAAACATGTACAAAATACAAAGTGGAAGTTGACTACTGTCTCATCTCCCAGAATAGTTTGGTGTATATCATCCAGATGCTTGTGTGTATATATAAACATGTAAAGATGTGCATGTATTTTCAACCTTATATAAGCAATTTTTAAAGAGCAGTGGATCCACACTCTACATTATATTCTGCAGTTTGGTTTTTTTCACTTACTCTATTTTGGATATCTGTGCATATCAGTCTATAGAGACTTAATCTTTTTAACAGTTGAATAGTATTCTGTTATGTGGTTGAAACATAATTTATTTACCTAATCCCCTATGATGGACATTTGAACTGTTTCCACTTTAATTTCTTTGTTTTTTATTTGAGGCATAGTTGAGACTGTTTCCTTTTTAAAAAATATCATTACAAACAATGCTATAATGAACATTCTTAGACATATATCTTTGTGAATATTTCTATAAGGTAGATTCTCAGAAGTAGAATTGCTGGGGTAAAGGGTATGCATATTTCAAATTTTATTTTATTTCACTTTAATTTTTAAAAGATTCCATTTATTTATTTGAGAGAGAGAGAGAGAGAGAGAGAGAGAGCAAGGGCACAAGTGGGGGGAGGGACAGAGGGACAAGCAGATTTCCCGCTGAGCAGGGAGCCCAACACAGGCTCCATCCCAGGACCCTGAGATCATGACCTGAGCTGAAGGCAGACGCTTAACCGACTGAGCCATCCAGGTGCCCCCGCATATTTCAAATTCTAATAGCTTCTACCAAACTGCCTTCCAAACAGATGTATTACTATCTACAGTCTATGAAAATACTTATTCCTCATACTCTCAGCAACTGTGTATTATCATAAAAAAATCATTGTCAGAGTTAAGAGAGAGTAAATCTAAGATTAATAATTACAAGTTACGGGGTAGATTTGAGTCTATATCTATATTCATTTCTACATACCTATAAAACTTTCTAATGATTATTGCTTTTAAGGAATGGAAGGCATGTTTGAAGAGGTTCAGTTCCCTATCACTAAGAGCAACAACTAACATGTAAGATTTATAGTGTAGGGAGTTGTTTGGCATAAATGATCTAATTTGATCTTTATGTTACTTATACTCAGGTATAAGTATTAATATATTTTGTTATAGATGAGAAAATGGAGCTCAATCTCAATGTCACTCAGTTAATATGGAATTAGGAAATAATTCCAGATTTTTTGACTCTTAATCCTGTCACTTTCCATCATAGGATATAGAGGTTGAAATAATTATCTCCCAGGAATGCTGTGAAGTTGAATCCTGATTTAATTAAGATACTTTCCAACCCTAAATTTCTTTGATTCTGTGCCAAGTTCAATAAGGGAGTGGTTTGGAGAAGGGAAAAGACAGGTTATGAAGTTTGACTAATGCAGTGGCAACAGTAATGCTGGACAAGAGGAGACAGATATACAGAACACAGGGAGCACACAGAGCCTAAGGTAATGTGGGAGTTTTGAGCATGGATCACTAGTAGAAAAAAAAGAGATATGGTCAGGAGAGTCAAATATTACAGACAAACAGAGCAATGAAAAGGCCATCTGGTGATTCGGCCATTCACATTGACTTTAGAGAGAGTAGTATTTTAGTGTCAAAGGCCTTGTGGGATTCAGGGGTCATTGAAAGGTGAGGAAGTAAAAAGCGTTTAGGTGTCTCTTTGGAGGAGTTTGGTAGTGTGGGAGAATAGGAAAGTTTAGTAGAATGTCAGGGTCAACTGAAGGTCTTTTGGGGATAAGGGAGGGAGGCTTTGAACTCCTGTGTTGGAAGAAGAGGATAAACCAGCCGAGAGGAAAGATTAAAGCGACAAAGAGGTAACTGATAAAGGCAAATTCTAAGAGGAGATGGGTGGGATCCAAGGTAGAGTTGGAGTAACTACTCTTAACTTAAGATCAGGCCCTTTGTCATGTTTATGCTCTGCCTCTTTTATTTCCCTCAAACCTGGAAGAGTACTTCCGTCTGACGGTGTCAAGGCAAGAGCCTTGGGACAGGAGGAGAACTCCAGTCCCAGCTTTGCCACTAAAACCCTATGTAACCCCTGGCTAGTCATTTCTCTTCCCTAGAGATTATTTTCTTCATTTTCAAAACAGTGAAGAGAACTGGGTAATCTCTAAGTTCTGTGAGCCTCTGATTAATAGGCCAGGGGGGAAAGTTGGGTTTGCAAAGATCCTGCTAGTGAGGGCTGCCCCTGCTTACCGTACATAGGCTGTAGTTTGGAATCTCTCAGGACTGGGAAGGTGGGACAAGGCCTCTAATCGGCGGTGTGGCCAACGCTGCTGTGCTCGTGTCAATCCCCAGGTATGGCAAGAGAGTGGCAGACATAAAGGAAAGCAAGGAACATGTAATTGCGAACAGGTAAAGGTGGGGAATGGGCTCTCCAAAGGGGGGTTGGAATAGGAATCCCTCCTTTGTTCTCACCTAAGCCACTCCGGGTCTCTGTACAGCTTTATTGCTTCAACCCAAGAACTTGCTGCTGCCCCACAGTTTCCGTATGTTTTCTTACCGAGTCTAACTGTAGCATTGAATGTCCTTCCTACCTGACATCCCTTCCTAAATGCCTTAGGAGGATTTTTAAGGACAGGAGAGGCATTATTCTCTAGTTTCCACTTTCTTTCCTTAGTGGCCAGTTTCATTGTCAGCGGCGCCAATTTCTGCGGATGGCAGTGAAGGAGCTGGAGAGCGTATTAACTGACGAGCCAGGACTACTGGGTCCCAAGGCAAGAGGAAAGAAGAAATGTTGGCAGGGGCTTGATGACCAATGATAAAAGGCTCTATGTGGGGGGGAGTGACTTGGCTTTCATGGGTTTTTGCATTTCTGAGTCTTTCGTGATCTGTTTGTATATGTATATGCTGATTCCCTTGAATGTTCTCGGAGTACCCTGAAACTTTTTGGATCTCTTTTTTGGGCACCATCAGGGGGTAGTATATCATAGCTATTTGTGTACTTGTCTTATCCTCTATTTGCGTGTGAACTAATTGAAGACAGAGCTTGCTTTTTTTTTTTTTTCCAAACCACATAAATGCCTAGTAAATATTTCTAAGATTTAATAGGGCTGAAAAAGTATCGGCTATGAGCTAATGTCAACATATGTACATGTCTGATTCTGTTTCATATGGTTTTTTGTGGGTCTCTGGGTTTATTTTTGGACACTATTGCTGATGGGGCTACACAATTGTATCTGTATGCGTATTATCATGATAGTTCTCTGTGCTTTGAAATCTGTTTTTCAGGTTGAAAATTCTCATAGACCCTGTCCTCTCCTTAGGCCCTTTATGTTTTCATGGCCCTGTCCTTCATTCGTGATGAGGTCACCTGGCTGGTTCGCCACACAGAAAACGTCACCAAGACAAAGACCCCTGAGGACTATGCTGACTCGTTAGTACTCGACATGGTTAAGAATCTTGACCTTTGATGGATGGGGGAAAGGGACAGAGAGACATCCAATGACCTCAGGAGGTCTCAGTGTCTGCACTGCCTTTGTCTCAGGTGATATTTCTGGTCTCACAATCTCCCTGTTGTCATCCTCGACTTTGCAGGAGCATTGCAGAACTGCTTTTCTTGTTGGAGGAGATTAGGGCTCTGGTCCGAAGACACATCAAAGTGATACAGCAATATCACCTTCAGTACCTGGCTAGATTTGATGCTCTTGTACTCAGTGACATCATTCAAGTAAGTTCAGTTGCCTCTACTTTGGAAATGTCAGGGCAATCCCCAGTCATTTCCCCTTGGGGGCCACCCTGGCTGAATTTCATGCCCTGTAGATTGTGTGTCAAAAAGCCCGATTTTCCTCTCTACATTTGTTAAAAGATGGAAAAAAAAAGACTAATAATCTCCGTAGTCTTTTTTTTTTTTCCTCCTACATGAAGCAACATAAAAATAGAAGAGAAAAATAAAGAGAAATTGGGTGTTAACATGGCAGGGAAACCAGGGAGTTCCCTCCATCTCTTGCTTAGCTCTTTCTGTTTGTGGCGCTTAGCAGTTCTTATACCTTCATGTACTGAGTGAGCCTTGTGGTCCTTGTTTATATCCTGGTGGAACCTCTACCCACTTGATGGCAACTCCAACTTCTCTTTTAGAACCTGTCTGTGTGTCCTGAGGAGGAGTCCATTATAATGTCCTCATTCGTCAGTACTCTCTCTTCCCTGAATCTCAAACAAGGTAATTGGAGGGACGTGGAGGAAGAAAAGTCTATATAAGGGTGAACATCTTTTGTTCTAGAAATACTGATCTCAAGCCAGGGAATAGGACAAGATGACTTTGAAAAGGACCTACCCTTCTGTGGAGTAGGATATAGGGTGCTGTTTTCTTATTTTCTTTTAAACTTCTATTTTTCTTACAGTTGAGAGTGGAGAGAAATTTGAATTCTCTGGTTTGAGGCTGGACTGGTTCCGTCTACAGGTAGGTCTGTTCCTGTTCATGGTTTCCCATTCTGAGGGTTCTTCCTCTGCAACAATCCCTTCTCCTTTTATTTCCTAATCTCTCCTGTATAGAGTGATTCAGCGGTGAAAACTGCTGATTGAGGGGCACCTGGGTGGCTCAGTGGGTTAAGCATCTGCCTGTGGCTCAGGTCGGGCTCCCTGCTCAGTGGGGAGCCTGCTTCTCCCTCTCCCTCTGCCTGCCGCTCCCACGCTTATGCTCTCACTCCCTCTCTCTCCCTCTCTCTATCTCAAATAAATAAATAAAATCTTAAAACAAAATAAAAGAAAATTGCTGATTAGCAGGACAAACCCTAGCCGAACCGTAGCTCCAAGGCAGGCAGTCCTCATTTATCTTGTTCTTCTCCCCCGTTTTTCTGACTCCAACCATAGGCATATACCAGTGTGGCTAAGGCTCCCTTGCACCTGCACGAGAACCCTGACTTAGCCAAGGTGATGAATCTCATTGTCTTTCATTCCCGAATGCTGGACTCAGTAGAGAATATACTGGTGGAAACTTCTGACTTGTCTACTTTCTGGTATGTCCTCATTCAGAGCTCTCTATCATTTGACCTGATCTCTTCCCTGGCCTCTGTGGAGAACAGCAATTCCTTCCTACAGATGGGAAAACCTTTTTTCTTTGATACCTCCTTAGACGCAGATGCTCCAACCCACTCATTCCAGCTTCTACCAACTGATAGGAATTTGAGGATAGTTTCCTTTTGTTTTGGCTTTCTTTAGGATAATTATCTGGGATAATTCACCACTTTGGCTTTTCCCACACTGTTATCTTTGGAACCTTCTTTAGCTTGCTTTTATTCTTGGGACATTGTGATTTAAAAGAGACATAGGAAATGTGGAATTTTAGTAGAGAGAGCTGAAAATAATTGAGAGAGCTGGAGACTAGGGCCTTTGGAGAATGAAACTTAGTTTGTCTTCCTTAGGTATCATTCAGCATTTATCAAGTGACCACTGTTGTACATAACTCTATCATTTGGTAGGTCAAACAAACAACACAAGATGTTGACTCTGCTCTCTGCATTCAGTATTGGTGGGGAGATACAACACTCACATGTGAAAAGGACATCAACATATTAATTGCAAACATAAGAAAGCATATAAAGAGTGCATGATGTTGAGAGGCTATAGGGTTGAGGAAAGATTAGCATCATGGAATTAACCTGAGAAAGTTTTCTGGAGCCTGAGTGGGCAAATTTTGGGAGGGATGTGGATTAATATTACTCAAGGACTTCTAAATTAGGAAGAATGGCCCAGATCACATAGAGGTTCTGAGGGAAGAATAGCAGATTTTGTACAAGGGAAGGGAAGAAGATTAGCACTAAACTGCCATGGGGTCCAGTATAAAAGTCTAAAAGGGTTAAGTTTCTTGGTTTCCTGTTTACCTTAAGAGTGGGGAAATGTGGGGCACTTGGCTGGCTCAGTCGGTAGAGCATATGACTCTTGATCTCAGGTTTATGAGTTCAAGTCCCATGTGGGGCGTAGAGCTTACTTAAAAAAAAAAAAAACCAAACAAACAAGTGTGTGGAAATGGAGGGAGGGGTGAAGATCAATAAATATTTGTTGAAAGAATAGATATTCTTTCCACCTCAAAGGGACCAGCACCTCAACCTTAGAACCTTGGTTCTAAGTCTCCTTCCCCCTTTTCTTCAGCTTCCATCTCCGCACCTTCGAGAAGATGTTTGCTATGACCCTGGAGGAACCTTCCATGTTGCGCTATGCCATCGCTTTCCCCCTGATCTGTGCTCATTTTGTCCACTGCACTCATGAGATGTGCCCAGAGGAGGTGCGTACCCTGGACGCCAAGCCCTGCCATCCTTCTAATCACATCTTATCCTTATTCCCCAAAACACAATTCCAAGTGCTGGTTTTGGTCATAAGAAGGGTACATAGGTATGTGGCACATGTCCCTAAATGTCTCAGCTTGATGTAGAATGTGTCCTCTCTCTGGGTCTGAGTTTCTTCTTCTGTAGAAGGAGTGGTGGCTCAGGCCAGGGATCAGAGCAGATTATGAGGAAGAAGAGGCTGTCTTGGTGATGACAATTTCTTCCTTGCTTCCTCTTTCCCAAAGTACCCCCACCTGAAGAACCATGGCCTTCATCACTGCAACTCCTTCCTGGAAGAGTTGGCCAAGCAGACCAGCAACTGCGTCCTGGAGATCTGTGCTGAACAACGAAACCTGAGCGAGCAGGTAGGCTCAGACTTCTGTCTCTGATTCAGTTTCCTCTGTTTACCTCGTCTTTCTCTCAAACGCCAAGTTCTCTAACCTTTTCTTCCAAGTAGGGCTAGGGCTTTTGTGTACTTGAGTTTATGGCAGGTTTCTTTTCTTTGTGTAATCCTTCAGTCTTTGCTCCCTCAGGACTAGATAGATGTATCTAAAAATACTCTTATTTGAACAGCTGCACACCAGCAAAATCAGTGCTCTCATTTGAAGAGTTCCGAGAGATGAGTTAACTTTCTGATTTCTTTCCCCTCCTCTCTCTGCCCTGTGTACACATAGTTAGGACAGTGCCCGCCCCCCCGACATCACCCATCTTGTCTCACCTTTCTGTCCATCTGCACCCTGATCTGGGGCTCTGTAACCATTTCCAGGCCTCTCCTCTGTGTTTATCCTCAGGGCTGCTTTCTTGTCCTTATCTGGTTGTTTTCCCCTCTCTCCCTTCCCTTGACTGACTCACAGCACCTGGTCACGATGAGCTCAATCTAAATCTCAGAAAATTTGAAAATGAGGAGCTGCTTCTGCTGTTGCCCTGGGGTCTTTTAGGTTTCCTAGACTACCTGCCCTTCCTGGGTTTGAGTCAGGCTTTGTAGCAACTTTGGGAGAAGGATGAGCCAGGATGTGCGTGTGTGTTGTGTATACATATGGACAGTTAATATTATTACTTACATAACCTTTCCATCTTCTCATATGTAAAATGTGGATAAAAATTGTTCCTTTGTAGAGGCATCATAGAGATGAAATGAAGTTGAGTATGTTAAATATTTAGTACACGACTCAATAGATGTTAGCTGCTATATTATTTGGTACTTACTGGCCACTAAGCTCTGTGCTGGGTTTTGGGATGGGCCCCAGAAGGAAGTTATACAATCCCTGCCCTTGGGGAATGTCCTGATTTAAGGGAAAAAGGAATACAAATACATGTTAGAAAGAAATTTAAAAAATGAATGCAAAGAATATAGGCAAACAAGTATGATTATGAGTATACTCATCACTCCATTTGAATACCTACTACATGCAAGGGACACAGTTAAAGAGATTTGCTCAATGCTCTATCAAGGATGACGAAAACATGATATGAGTAATTGTTTTCACACACACCAGAACTTTTGCAACCAAGTGAGTATCGCCCCCTCCAAAGTTATCATTACCAAAAAATAATTGGTGATGTTGCCATTACTAATGGAGTTACGTCTTTTACTACTTTCAGAATCAACCACAGACATTTTGGCACCATTTCAGGGTTGACATATCTTTAGTGTCACATCTTTTAGTGTGACTGTGAAGTAACAAAACCAGTTTTCTCACGGCTCTTATGCTGTTCTGAGAGTAATTCTGAATGGAGAGTTTCCAGACATGCTCTGCACATGCTCAGCAGCATTGGGTTAAATGGAGAGAATTCTAAGATGATTACCTTGAAGGAGATACCGGAATATATAATTCTATCTTACATTTTCTGTGCAGCTGACTGGGCATCTTGGTGAAGAGAAGGAATGCAGAATTGGTGTTTAAACTAACTAGCAAGAAATATGCTATCTTGTAAAAAAAAAAAAAGTGGAAAGACAGTGCTGGTCATGTTGTGAGCTCTGAGTCTCTGGCGGGCTGTGCTAGTATGGGTAGCTGACTCCATGGGACAGAACATGAGGAATTGTAGATGGTTTTTCCATATAAGCAAAAAACAACTGTCTCCTCAGGTTGGAAGATCCAAGAAAGTGCAGTTGAGTGGAGCTCTTAGAACCTATCCTTTTACTTGAATTTTTCCATCAGGACAGACTCTCTCTCAGGATGTGGGTGGGGACTTGATGATCTGATCCATAAAAGACACTGCCATTTTGAGACTTTGAGCCCTAACCTTGAGGGGTATTTAGTGAAAACCAAAAGAAGTGGGTGCAGTTCAAATGGGCCCCCATTAGAGAAAGAGATGCTGGAAGGAAAGAGAGACAGGTAGAAAAATGAAAGAAGAGACATTAGTGGAGGGCCTGTTAGATGGACTTCTTGTCAGTTCTAGGAAGGGATCTCATGTCTCTACTCACTTGTGTTTGTTCCTATAGCTTCTACCTAAGCACTGTGCCACTACCATCAGCAAGGCCAAGAATAAGAAAATCATGAAGCAGAAGCAGACCCCCAGAAAAGGAGAGCCTGAGAGGGACAAGCCAGGAGCTGAGAGTCACCGGAAGAACCGCAGCATTGTCACCAAGTGAGGACCTGGGCCCTTGAGGGCTAGGTGGGCACTCCTCAAAGAAGGGACAGCAGGGAAGAGGGAAGGTGATACAGCAAGAGAACGTGGAGGTGGTGGTGGGGAATGACAGAGAGGGAAAAGCACTCACATGTGAATTTTCTCCTTTGCCTTTGAAGGCAGCATCAGTATGTACTGGTCTGGGTGTCCTAGAAGATGAAAGGGTCTAAGGGTCATGGGCCTGACAAATCCTTCCCAGATATTAGCAGGTAGTGTCAGACCCGTAATCAAGGCTCATTTTACTTTCTCAATTTCCCAGCATGGACAAGCTACACTTAAACTTGACAGAATTGGCACTGACAATGAATCATGTACACAGCTTCTCTGTGTTTGAACACACCATCTTCCCTTCTGAGTATCTCAGCAGCCATCTGGAGGCCAGACTCAACAGGTACCACTCTTTCATTGTCTTCTATGTTAGCCTATGATCGTTCTGAAAGTTGGGTTCTGTTAGATTTATCTGATTCATCTTGGTGGTCATTCTGATACAGTCGATCTGGCATAGGTCTCAAGTATCTTTATTAAAATCCACTAACAAGAAGGGTCCAACACTTCTACAGGTGGTTTTGGGAAACAACCAGAACTGATCACCACTGGCTTAGTAGAGTGAGCGGGACTTTTGCAGTCAGCAGACCTGTGTTGACATCCTGGCCCTCGGCTAAGACCCTGGAACAGGGGTTCTGACTTGTTTAAGCCTTAGTTTCCAACCCTGTAAATAAGGATAATGATATTTACCTTATAATGAGAATTACCTGTAATTGAGAATTGGTACAGAATGAAAGGTAATAAACAGTGAGTTCAAAGTTCCTGCCATAAATAGGTTTTGATAAAATAGATTCCCTTCCTTCTACTGTGCCTCTCTTTCCATTGCCCCTTGAAGTAGGAGGAACATTCCTGATATTGGAATTGAGCATTACAGTCAGCAATTAGGGGAAATGAGGGGAAGAATTATTTTGAATAATCCCCTAGTCTTCTATGTTTTGTTTTGGAATATGTAGTATATTCACTCAAGTTGCCAGGGAAGGCCTGCTTGAAAAAGTGACATTTGAGTAAACTCCTGAAGGAACTGAGGAAGCCAAGTGTGTGACTACCTAGGGAAAGCATTCTAGGTAGAGGAACTAGCCAGTGCAAAGGCTCTGAGGTGGGAGCCTGCCTGGAATGTTCAGAGGATACAGGGGAGGCCAGTAGGGCTGGAGCAGAAGGAGCCAGGGGCAGATGGGTCATATGTGAGGTTAGAGAGTTTGGGGGAGTGGCAGATTGTGTAGGTGTTTCTCTGTCATCGGAAGCACTTTGACTTATTCTGAGTGAGATGGGGGGCCTTGGCAGGGTTTGAGCAGGGCAGGGCAGGAATGATAAATGTACCTACCTTATTGGGTTGCTATGAGATTTATTTTATTTATTTTATTTTTTATTTTTATTTATTTTTTTTTAATTTTTTATTGTTATGTTAATCACCATATATTACATCATTAGTTTTTGGTGCAGTGTCCCATGATTCATTGTTTGTTCTATTTTTTATTTTTTAAAGATTTTATTTATTTATTTATTTGAGAGAGCGAGAGAAAGCACATGGGGGGGGGTCAGAGGGAGAAGTAGACTCCCCGCTGAGCAGGGAGCGCGATGCAGGACTCGATCCTGGGACTCCAGGATCATGACCTGAGCCGAAGGCAGTCGCTCAACCAACTGAGCCACCCAGGCGCCCGGGGTTGCTATGAGATTTAAAGGAGATATTGCATGTAGTTAAATCATAGCACAGTGCCTGGAACACAGTATAAGTGTGCTGTTACCGTGTTTAATATTATGACTATGATTATGATTTTTGTCACCCAGAGCCATTGTGTGGCTGGCTGGCTACAACGCCACAACCCAAGAGATTGCAAGGCCTTCTGAGCTGTTGGCAGGAGTCAAAGCGTATATCAGTTTCATACAGTCACTGGCCCAGTTTGTGGGTGCAGATGTTTCTAGAGTCATCCGCAATGCCCTCCTCCAGCAGACACAGCCCCTGGACTCGTGTGGAGAACAGACGATCACCACTTTCTACACAAATTGGTCAGTGTTGCTTATCCTCTTCCACCGCCTTACCTCTTTGTTAGCCTTTTTTCCTTTGCCAGGTCAGAACTTGGGTCCAGGCATTTTAGTTCCCAGGGTCATAGACCCCCAGAGGCTTGTTTCTGCTTGAGGCCTAGAGCAGTAAGTGGGGGCAAACCCAGATCTGCTTCTGCTCATGGGGGACCTTCCTTGTAACATCCATTCATCTACTCTGTAGCAACTTGACATTTTCCTCCTTTTTTTTTTTTTTAAGATTTATTTATTTATTTCAGAGAGAGAGAGAGTGTGCGGGCGTGCTTTCATGCAAGTGGGGGGAGGGGCAGAGGGAGAGGGGAAGTCCCAAGCAGACTCCCCACTGAGCGCAGAGCCCAATACAGTGTTTGATCCCATGACTTGAGATCATGACCCTGAGATCATGACCTGAGCCGAAATCAAGAGTTGAACGCTTAACCATCTGAGCCACCCAGGTGCCCCTGACCTTTTTCCTCTTTTTTTTTTTTTAAGATTTTATTTATTTATTTGAGAGAGAGAATGAGAGACAGAGAGAGAGCACGCATGAGAGGCAGGAGGGTCAGAGGGAGAAGCAGACTCCCCGCCGAGCAGGGAGCCCGATGCGGGACTCGATCCAGGGACTCCAGGATCATGACCTGAGCTGAAGGCAGTCACTTAACTGACTGAGCCACCCAGGCGCCTGACCTTTTTCCTCTTAATCTCCAGTTTCTACTCTTCCTTTTCTGGATTCTCACTGTTTTAATTTCAAATGCTCTCTCTTCCTGTTTCTAAAGCTCTTTTGTCTCTTTTTGTCCAGCTTCTCTCCCTGAAGACTATTCTGTCTAACACCATATCTCCAGAATACTATCACCTCACCTCTGACATGACCATGTCAAGTCTAGCAGATTGTTTTTAACAGGAAGGAGGACTCCTCTCCAAAACCAGAGGAAGTAGGAATTAGCAATGTTTCCTTAGAGATTTTGAGGATGGAAAGGAGCTGGATTCCTACTTTCCCAAGCCACTGGGTGGCGCTCTTATTCCAATATCAGCTCAGCAGGCGCCAGGCTGCAAAGAACCCCGAGTTGGGGAAAGACTGAGACAAAGTTTGCAAGTAAAAATGCCAACAGGGCCTGTCAGAAGAGGTGAATGGATGTTGTGGGTTAGGTGGAGACTGAGCTGTTAAAGAGGGCATGCTCCTCTGATGGGGGCAGCCACCTCTTACCTCCACCTGATCACTGCCCACTAAAACCTTATTTTTAATGTAAAATCTCCCAGTTTCAAAATTTTGACAACAAATTCAAATTAAAAGAAAAAAAAAACTTACCTTTGATGGCTGGGTTTGGCCCACCCGTGGTTAGCTCGTGACTTCTGTAGGACCTAGGCCCAGAGCTAGTGGCTGGGTGAGTGGCACGGGTTGGCCAAGCCCTCCTTTGCTGATAGTGGCTAGAGGCCAAAGCTTCCCCAGACGTCAGGGGGGAATATCTGGAGATCAAATGACCAGTGTTCACAAGGCTTCTGTCTGTCCAGGAGGTTTGACTTAGGATCTGCTTCCAGAATCCTAGGTTCTCAGTCCAACATTCTCATTGGGGAGGTTGAGGCTAAGTATGTTTCAAAGGACCCCAGTTAGTAGGAATTTCTTGTCTCGTCAGTTTGGGCTTGTCTTAACTGACAGAGAAAGGCCAAGGGTGAGGGGGGGGCAGAGAATAGTTGGAAAAAGAGCAGGGGCTGAGCGAGGGGAGTGCACACTGTTACATTTGACAGCCCAGTGAAATAACCTGCAGATTGGAGGAGAAGCCGAATTACATTACTGCCAGTTGTTTTTGAGCCAATAGCTTGGGGTGTTAATTAGAGTGTTTTACTGTCTTCTTTGAGTCTCTTCTCTGCACCCCAGCCTTTGGCAGAGTTTCTCGTCCTGAGCCCAGTGGTAGTGGTAGGGAGTGATGGAGAAAGGATTGAATGCTAATCTTGTGTGTTTTCTTGGCCAATCCTGTAGGTACCTAGAAAGTCTGCTTAGACAGGCGAGTAGTGGGACCATCATCCTCTCCCCAGCCATGCAGGCCTTCATCAGCCTTCCTAGAGAGGGGGAGCAGAACTTCAGTGCAGAGGAGTTCTCTGACATCTCTGGTGAGTCCAGGGCCTGGTCTCCTTGTCAAGGGGCTGAGCCTTTCCCCTCGGTACTACAGAACTCATCTAAATTCTCCTACCTTCCCAGAGGCTCATTCTGTATGCTCCTCAGCATCTCTGTGAGATTACATGTTAGGAACAATAAAGGGATCCTAAGCGAGGCACAGAATTGAGGAGTGGCCTGGGAGTGGCAGGTGGAGAAGGGGAATGAAGGGAGGTAGGAGCTAGGCAAGGGCACTCAAGTCACTGAAAGGGTTTATTCTTAGAAGGGTGGTGAATATTTTCCATTTCCACACAGAATAAAGAGTGGGACATATAATGAAGGGTAAAGGATAAATGTAAGGAGGACATTCTGATATTTGGAATTATTAAATAGTGGTCTGATGTCATGGCATCTTCTTTCTTAGGGATAAATTTTAGGGCCTTACTTAGCCAGAGCTTGGATTGCTAATGTATAACAATGACGATAAAATAATAGATGACATTCATTGTGGGCTAAGTTCTGAATGGTTCACGTGTATTAATTCCTTTAATCCTCACAATGGCTTTGAGATAGGTACTCTTTTTTTTTTTTTAAAGATTTTATTTATTTATTCATGAGAGACAGAGGAGGAGAGAGAGAGAGGGAGAAAGAGAGAGAGAGAGAAGCAGAGGGAGAAGCAGGCTCCCAAGGAGCAGGGAGCCCGATGCGGGACTCGATCCCAGGACCCCGGGATCATGACCTGAGCCGAAGGCAGACGCTTAACCATCTGAGCCACCCAGGCGCCCAAGATAGGTACTCTTATTACCCCCATTTTACAGATGAGGACGCAGAGACACAGAGAGGTTAAGGAGCTTGCCTAAGGTTACCCATTCATAAATGCTAGAACTGGGATTTTAACTCAAGGCAGTCAAATTCTAGAACCTGGGTGCTTAATCATATGTAGTGCTGCTTCCCACTGTGTAGAAGTGCTTTGATGTCTCAAGGCCAGCAGGTAAGGATTGTGGAGTGAATGAGCTGGGAGTCATTCTCCTTTTTAAAGAGGGCTGGCAGCCATACAGATCCTTTTTAATGGATTTGTGTTACTGACTGATTGATGAACTATCATACTGCTTCCTCCTTCCTCTCACCTCCATATAAATCATGGATCCTGCATGATGTCTGGGGCGGGTGGGGGATGTTTCCATGACCCTGCCTTCTCCATTCTTCCCCTTCCTTGGTGTGGGGGGAGGTGTTTTGAAAGAGTACACAGTTCTGTTGTCCAGCTCCATCTCCTTCTTACCCTCATTCGGACTCCATCAGTAAGCTGACCCTACTCTTTGCCTGTTGGAGGTTTCAGATGTCCCCTGTCATCAACTCCACCCACAAACTGTAGGCAGCATCTAAAATCAGCTTTAGGTCTTGCTGACAACTGATGAGCAGCAGGAGGTAAGGCTGGTTCCCCCTTATACCACCCCCACCCCAATTTCCCTGAGTTACTATGGTGATGGGGCAATGCTACTGTAAAAATAGATAGATGGAAAGAGAAGGATGCCCCAGGGTTACTAGCCTGGAGTTGAGAAGACTAGAGTAAGGAGGATTGGCAGATCCAAACTGGTGGATCAGTGTGTCTTCTCTCTAGAGCAGGCAGTTCCGCTCTTCTTCCTGTCAGCGATTTTAGCATTAGTAAGTCGACCAGGTGGGAAGTCTTTTTTTCTAGTTCTCAGCTCAGTTCTTCCTACTGTAAATAGGAGAGACCAAAAATGTGTCGTATTTCATCCAGACAGGGCTCTGACCAGTTCCACTTCCTCTGTCCTTGGTGGAGCCCCAAATCAACCGGTCCTGCCTTCAAGGACTAGAGGGTGGTTCTCGATTTCTTTCCCCTCTGACCTCTTATTGACTATGTTAAACTCACTTTTCTGCTACTGGTCTCTTGTGGTTACTTTTGGTCATTTATGGTTTTCTCTGCTGGGATGGCCCGTGGCCAAAAATCATCGCTGGAGCTCCTTCCTATTTGGATTTGTCTCTAGTGTTTCTAACAGGGGATTTCTCCAGGCAGGTTTCATTTACTTCACAAAGGGCCAGAAGCAGGATGGGTAGGGACCCATAAGGCATCTGGGCAGACCAGAGGAAGAAGGATTCAGAGGAAAAAACAACTGGGATTCTGGGGTTGTGTGTTGATTATGAAAAAGAAAACGTAGCTCAAGGAGAGGAAAATTTGGACAGTGAGGGAAGCGGAAGGGGGAACATAGAAAACCCCAAACCTTAGATAAGGAACCAGTTGTGGTACCTACAGTAAGGGGCAGTAGGACATCGTGCTAGGTTTCAGGTACCAGCCCTTGACTTGGTTAAATGACCTTGGACAAGCACTTAATTCTCCCATGTCTGTTAAACCAGAATGATGTGCCGCATACTTCAGAGGGCTGTCAATAATTAATTTAATCCTTTAATTATAAATTTAATCATAAATATCTTTATAAGTTTCTAAGGTTTTTATGATGGTATCTTATTTATTCTCATATCAACTCTGTGAAGTATTCAGTGCAGATACTAATTTCTTCATTTTACAGAGAAGTAAATCGAGGCTCAGAAAGAATCAGTGACTTGTTTAAGGTCTTATATCTAATAATGTTAGTACAGCTAGCCCAGCAAGAGCAACCCAGGTACCACATGAAGGGACTTGGAAAAGTATAGATTCCTAGAAGAATATAAGGTAAATATCATTTGTGGGAAATCTTTGAGTGCATACCAGAGAGGAGACGGTGATTGGTCTCATAGGCAGGCCAGACCTGTCACCTGAATGTAGGACTTCAGGCCATTTTTGCTCCCCAACTTCCCACTTCCTTTCCTGGATGAAAGACATTGTAAATGTTCAAAGTACTCTCTACCTGTGGTGTAAATGCCCCAGTGGCCCCTAAGCCCCCTGGGACCTCTGTAACTCTCTTGCAGAGATGCGGGCCTTGGCTGAACTCTTGGGCCCTTATGGCATGAAGTTCCTGAGTGAGAACCTGATGTGGCACGTGACCTCTCAGATTGTGGAGCTGAAGGTACTATGGAAGCCAGGCCTGGGGAAGGGGTAGAAGTAGGAGACCCCCCCAGGGGGAAGAGCTACCACGGTTTTATCTTCTCCTGCTTAACGTCTCTGTGTCCTGGCTGCAGAAGCTGGTGGTGGAGAACATGGATGTACTTGTTCAGATCAGATCCAACTTTAGCAAGGCAGATTTGATGGCTTCTCTGCTGCCCCAGCTGATAGGTGAGCACCTCCCTAATGGGAGAAGGAACTGTGGGAATGGCCTTGTGGATGACAGGGGTTTGGGGGGAGACCTGGGGGATAGGCTGGGTCTACGGAAGGAAAACCATCAGTATTCTCCTAAGTTCTACTTCCCTAATGGTCTCCATTCTCCTCAGGGGCTGATAATGTGCTGAAGCGCATGACCATCATTGGAGTTATCCTCACTTTTAGGGCCATGGCCCAAGAGGGACTTCGGGAGGTGAGTTGGGGGGAAGGGGCTGCCCCAGAATTGCAGACTCCTCCGAAGGTAGGGTTTGTATGAGAAGTTGTGGAAGCATGTGGTGAGCATTGAGGAGAAAGGAGGAACTTAATTTGGGAGAGGTCCTGGAAGATCTCTGGGGATAGACGAGTGGAGGACACCTAGGGGCACGATGAGAGGGGTAGTGTGGGAGGCTGGCTGGGTCCTTATCTAAGTTGAGGCCCTTTTTTTGTTTGTTTCCATCTATCTCTGAAGGTACTGGGGCTGTCCTGGGGACTCACTTATCTTCTCTCTCTTCCAGGTGTTCTCCTCTCACTGCCCATTTCTTATGGGTCCCATCGAGTGCCTGAAGGAGTTTGTCACTCCAGACACAGACATCAAGGTATAGAACAGTGCGAAGTAGGATCCACTTGGGAGATCTTTCTTGTTGAAAAGGATGTAGCCAGGATCTTATAAGGGAGGGGGTGCTCTGAGGAATACTGTAGGGAGACGAGCCAGCATTTGAACAGGAAAGCACTGGGGGAGATTTTGTGGAGAGAGGAGCACTGGTCAGACAGTATTCTTGGAGAGAGAGGGCAGAGCTGCGGAGACACGAGGGGAGGGAGAGACATGGAAGCCTGGCCGACCTATGAGAGTTGGGGAAACGTTACTGGAAAAAGCTAAGGTTGGGGCGCCTGGGTGGCTCAGCCATTGGGCGTCTGCCTTCCGCTCAGGTCATGATCCCAGGGCCCTGGGATTGAGCCCCTGCTCGGTGGGAAGCCTGCTTCTCCCTCTCACACTCTCCCTGCTTGTGTTCCCTCTCTTGCTGTCTCTCTCTCTGTCAAATAAATAAATAAAATCTTAAAAAAAAAAAAAAGCTAAGATCTAGGAAGGTATCCACCTAAAGTGTGCAAATTAGATACTGACCCATGTGCAAACAAGTCCCCTCTTCAGTCAGGAGCTTAGGTACTTCTTTGTAAAAAGATTCATGGCTTCCATCCCCACCCACCCTGCCTGCCCTCAGAGTTGCCTTTTTCTGGCCTTTCCTTTCTCCTAGTTCTGAAAACTTTTGGTTCCTCTATGTCTGTGTCACCTGGCTCAGGTCCCCATTTACTACAGAGATGTAAGGTACTGCAGGTACCCCGAGTAAAACAACCATTTCTCTGTGCCTCCCACACCTCTGCAGCATCTTTTGTCTTTTGAATCAGCTGAAACAAGTCTGTTACATAGGATATACAGCCAAAGGCTGGGAGCAAGGGCGTTCAAATGCATAGAGCAGGCTGCTTCTCTTACAACTGATTCCTTTCACGGAGAGAGGTCTGTGATTAAGAGGGAACTGGTTAGCAGGAAGAATTGAAATTAGATATTGAGAAAAACTTCCTTACCTTGAGATCGAAAGAGTTGTGAAATCTCCCCCTCTCTCTGCCCAAACTTAAGGGTGAAGCAGTCACGGGAGCTGTGTGGGTTTGATGTTGTGCGGGCATGGCTGCCGGCTTCTGACCGTTCTTTTATGGTGAACCTGGGTTTCTGGCAGTTGCTGATGTTGGGGATGAATGCTCTAGATTGTCAAGAGCTTGTCTACCTGTATCTCCTGGGCAGCACTGAGTTTTAGGCTCTGCCTGCTTGTGAAAATAAGCAGGTCGGAGCAGAGAAGGGGGGATGGTGGCCTGTCCATCAGAGATTATGTTATGCCTCAGTCAAACCTTTCTTTCTCCAGAACACTACAGGTTGCGGACAAGGTCCCTGACCCCCCCAGCCGTGGTTGCCATGAGCACCGTCATTTAGCTATAGGGAATTTAAATAAAGGGCAGAGCAGAACGTGGGAAAAGTTTGCCTTCTGTAAGTAGATTGGTATGTCTATAGGGTTCTTTGCATAAGATACTCCACTCAGTTGTCTACTCTTGAAACAACTGTTCTTGTTCTCTCAGAACACTTTTTATAAAAAATGATTTATTTATTTATTTTAGAGAGGCGGGGGGAGGGACAGAGGGAGAGAAAATGCCAAGCAGACTCTGTGCTGAGCTCTTAGCCCAACGCAGGCCTCAATCTCATGACCCTGAGACAACGACCTGAGGCAAAATGAAGTCAGACACTCAACTGACTGCACCACCCAGGTGCCCCGTCTTTCAGAACATTTTAGAGTAATTTTATTTTATTTATTTTTGTTTCTTTTTTTTTTCTTTTTAGAGTAATTTAAAAAACCTCAAACAAGGTCTAAATACTTGGCATGGGAGTGGGGGTGGGGGGCTATTTCCTGGGAACCCAATTTTAAGTACAACAAGGGATTCAAGTATCAATCAATAAATAGTAATTGAATACCTTCTATCTGCTTTGCATTGTGTTAAACTAAAGAGGAGTGGGCCGCCTGGGTGGCTCAGTTGGTTACGTGTCTGCCTTCAGCTCAGGTCATGATCCCAGGGTCCTGGGTTCAGCAGGGAGTCTGCTTCTCCCTCTCCCTCTGCCCCTCCGACTCATGCTCTCTCCTGCTATCTCTCTCTCAAATAAATAAATAAAATCTTAAAAAACAAAACAAAACAAAAACTAAAGAGGAGAAAAAGAAGTGTAAATTTCCTGGCTTTGAGATAAAGGAAGAGGAGGAAAGGAATACGGTTTATTGGTCTATTAGTGACTCTGAGTATGTAGGGTAGATGTTTTATACATGTGGTCTAATTTAATCTCCACAACAACTCTGTGAGGTATTATTATCCCAGTTTTACAGATGAGAAAACTGAGGCTCAAAGAGGTAAAGTAACTTTTAGCCGAGGTCACACATTTAGAAAGTGGTGGTCCTGGGATTTGAACCCAGATCTTCTCACTCCAAGGCCTTTTTCTCCCCTCAGAGGCCATGAGGTTTTAAAGGATTGCTTTCTAGGTGGTGAGACAAGCCATAGGTCTCACCTCCTGTCTGAAAAGATAACTGCTTAAACCAGGCCGGTGTGTGATCCATGCTAAGTCAGTGGTGCTACTTTAAGGAGGGAGAGATGGGTTTGGGCTGAAGTATTCAAGGAGGGCTTCACAGACACTAAGAGATTTGAGCTAAGCCTCAAGGGGTGGGTGTCATATAGCTATAAGTAGAGAGCAGGAAAGGACACTGTAGAAGAGGGAAGCACATGAACTAAAGTGTGGAAGTCAGGAAGCGAGGTATAGTTTGGAGATAGTGCATCAATGACCCTGGCTGCACTGACTGTAGGAAGCACCTTGGGAAGAAGATTGAGAAGGTCAGTGTGTACAATGGAGTATCCGCATGCCGAACAAAAGCATCTGTGCTTTTCCCCTGTAGGCTAGGGAGAGCCGTGAAAGGAATGCCCAGACAAGATGATAGTACACCGAAAATCTAAGATCTGTGATCCAGGAATCCCAACTCCCTGTAGCTTCTGTCCAAGACTTCCCTCCTGAGAATCCTGTCCAGGATGTTGTTTTCTTCTTTACTAGGTGACCCTGAGTGTCTTTGAGCTGGCCTCTGCTGCAGGAGTGGGCTGTGACATTGACCCAGCCCTGGTGGCTGCCATTGCCAATCTGAAAGCTGGTAAAATTGGGGAAAGTGGGCAAGGGAGGGCTCGGGCCCTATTTTCAGGTGGGCAAATGTCAATGTCAAAGAAGCCTTTATTTGGAATTGTGAATTCTGAGGATATAAGCTGGAAGCTAAAGAAAGAATTAAAGTGTTGGGGTGCCTGGGTGGCTCAGTCATTAAGCATCTGCCTTTGGCTCAGGTCATGGTCCCAGGGTCCTGGGATCGAGTCCCCCATCAGGCTCCCTGCTTGGCGGGAAACGTGCTTCTCCCTCTCCCACTCCCCCTGCTTGTGTTCCCTCTCTCACTGTGTCTCTCTCTGTCAAATAAATAAATAAAATCTTTTTTTTTTTTTTTTAAAAGACTTAAAGTATAGTCCCTAGCCCCCAGAAAATAGAGAGGCAATTTAGACTCCTAGCCGGGTTCCAACAGTTGACCTGTCCGTCTGCTAAAAAATATAAAATGAGGGTCTCTTTGATGCTCAGCAAGGACTCAAAGGAACTTACAATCTAGTAGGGGAAATCAGGTTAATGCAAATGAAACAATGAGAGAGCGATCCGCCGTCACATAAGATTTCATGCTGAGTTATATGGTATGGCATCTAAGTTCCCCAGAGTGATCTGGTGCTCTCCCCTCCCATAGAATCACCTTGACACTATTCACTTCTTCCCCTGGTCTCCCATTGTCTCTGACATTTCCCGTTTCTTACGCACGCTCAGAATGGGATGAAAAAAAGGAGCTGGTATTAAGCCCTTTCAAAACTGCCAGACCGGCCCTTCTTTTCTCTTGGTTTGGTGAGACTCTTTGCTCTCCTTCCTGCCTGTCCACCCCATCAGGCAGCTGACAGACAGTGTCCTCGGACCGCACGTCGGCAGAACCCTTCGCTGAGAGCTTTGCTTCAGTCACCAGAGGAGGCCTCCGGGATCGGACCCCTCATGATAAGTGGGGGCTAGTCCTGTCCCCTTCAGCAATAATGACTTGCCTATAGTGCTTCAGAAAAGTGTTTTCATATGTGATCCTGACAGTAATTCTGTGAAGTAGGGCTTCTGTAGAAGACAACTCCTGTTTGCTGACCTTACTTCTCCTCTTTTCTTTTTTCTGTCTTACCAGATACTTCATCCCCTGAGGAAGAATATAAGGTGGCCTGCCTGCTCTTGATCTTTCTTGCGGTTTCCCTCCCACTCCTTGCCACTGACCCCTCTTCCTGCTATAGTATTGAGAAGGATGGTAAGTAAGGACTACTTTGAGTAGTTTGAGGGACCAGCACTATTTGGGTCAGTCTCCGGGGGTAGGGAGATGAGATGGAGACATTTACCTGGAGAAGCCAGACTTCTGACTCAGCTGTAAAGTTCTGTTTCAAAAAACACTTGTGAATGAACTATCCGTAAAATGCAATTCCAGTGGGAATTTTTAAGAATAGCCTTCTCTCTTTTTTTTTTTAAATGTTTTATTTATTTATTCATGAGAGTCAGAGAGAGAGGCAGAGGGAGAAGCAGGCTCCCCGCAGAGCAGGGAGCCCGACGCGGGACTCGATCCCAGGACTCCGGGATCATGACCTGAGCCGAAGGCAATCGCTTAACCATCTGAGCCACCCAGGCGCCCAAGAATAGCCTTCTCTTAATATCCTAAATATCTCCTCATATTTTTTAGGAATATCATTCCCCACATGTCTCCTAGTGCTTTTGGTGTCAAACAGGGGTGGCCTCGCCTGAAAAACTGAGAGACCGCCAGCTGGGGTCAGCCTGGGGTGGCTCACTGTATTCCCTTTTGTTTCTCTCCCCTTCTGTCAATCATAACCTAGGTTACAACAACAATATTCATTGCTTGACCAAAGCCATCATCCAGGTGTCTGCTGCCCTCTTCACACTCTACAACAAGAACATTGAAACTCACCTTAAGGAGTTTCTGGTGGTGAGTGGCCCTAGGCTATAAGGAATGGAAGATTCCAAAGTCTTTTGGGATGGAATGGAAGATTGCAAAGTCTGGTGGGAATTGGTGTGGCTTAAATCCATAGACAGCTGTTATTGAGCAGGTCTTGGAGTCCAGCCTCCCACCTAATTCTTCAGTGAGTGAGTGGCACTCTGTGAAAGGCAGTAGTTTCTTCTAAATTCCCTAAGAGCTGGTGTTTCAGCCTCTGCCGGATTATTTGCAAAGAGCACTGGACTGAGTCAGAGAATCTGAGTTCTAGTTCTGGATCTGCCACTAAGAAGTTGTGTGACCTCTGAAGAGCCAAACTTTTGGGGCCTCATTTTGCCCATTTGTTAAATAGGGAGGTTAAACTGAATCTATGATTCACTACCTTGACTTGGGATGCCTTAGAATATCCGAGGGAGCTTGTTGAAATACAGATTCCTGATCCTTATGCCAGACATACTGAATTAGAATAGCCCAGGGTGAGTCCAGGCCTCTGTTTTTTAAAAAAATAATTAATTTTTAAATAAATTAGTGTTTATTTTTATTAATAAACTCATGACCCAAACTCATGACCCTGAAGTTGAGACCTGACCTGATCAAGAGTCAGACGCTTAATCGACTGAGCCACCCACGTGCCCCAGGCCTCTGTTTTTAACAAGGTCTCCAGGAGATCTGCTGAGCAATCAAGTTGAAGACGCCAAGTTTTAGAACCTATAAGGCCCTTTCCAACTCTCATCTTGACAAAAAAAATCAAACTTTTTTCACATTCTCAAACTTTAGCATAAACCAGAATCACCTGGAGAATTTCTGATTCAGTAGATTTGAGGTAGGGCTGGAAAATTTGCATTTCCAAGTTCCCAGGTGATGTTGATGCTGTTCATCCTGGGATCTCACTTGGAGAACCACTGTCTCCATTTCTAGGACTGGAGCTTTTTTTTTTAAATTTTATTTATTTTTGAGAACGAGAATGACACAGAGAGAGAATGAGAGGGGTGAGGGTCAGAGGGAGAAGCAGACTCCCCGCTGAGCAGGGAGCCCGATGCGGAACTCGATCCCGGGACTCCAGGATCATGACCTGAGCTGAAGGCAGCCACCCAACCAACTGAGCTACCCAGGCGCCCCTCTAGGACTGGAACTTTTAACCAGGCAGCCTATTCTACAGTAGGTTACATCCAATTTATTTGAGAAAAAATTATTTAAAAAAACATTTTTAGCCAAAGTTTGACTCCCTGTAGCTATCACCATTGGTCTTAGTTTTGCCTCTGGAAAAACGCAGAATAAGTAATCTCTTTCCATTGTTGAAAGAGGCCCTGGAGTTTTCCATTCTAGTCCTCCATGGAGGAATTCCGTCCATACGCTTTTGATACATGGTCCATTACCCACTGCCGGCTTGAGCATTCTCAGCAATGGGAAGCTTATTCCTTTGCAATGCATGGGACTGACTTAAGAACTAGGGCCTCATTTGTCTCCTTTTAGGAGCAAACACAGTTGATCATATTCTCTTGGGAATCATACCATTGTCCTGGAAGCTTAGTTAGAGGGTCTCCATTTAAACGGGGCCAGCCAGCCAATCTGAATGGGTTCTGAGCATCTTAGATATAAAGAATATTCACAGCAGATCTCTAAGATGGGGTGAAAAGGGATGCCCTCCCCCTTTTCCCATTTGCCCTGTTCGTTTGCAAAATGAGAGTAACCTGGGCCTGCAATACAGTTAATCATGTCTCTTCCTCCCTCTTTGATCTGTTGGGGGCCTGGAGGTGAATAGAGAGGACAGCCACTTGGGAGTTGACAGGAGAAGAATACGAAGAGCCCTGCATCTGAATCAGAGGCTCAGCCCTGTCTCTATTCCGGTAGAGAGTCAGCTGTAAACAGCCTGGTGACAGTGCTGTCTGAAGGCTGCCTAGGAAAAGAGATTAATCTCCTGCCTTTGTTCTAGGTTCTGTCCTCAGCCCTTGCAATCTTTCCCCCAGCACCCCTGGCAACCTACCATTGCCTGCACTGCCTGGTTCACAGGCAAGGTGCGGCTCTGAAGCCTAGGGGATTTGCTCCTTTTCCACCCGGAGTCTCCAGGAACACCCCGGCACTTCTTAACTCTCCTCCTTGATCTTTTCTTAACTTCCTGTAGCCTGAGGCTGTCCTACTCTGACCTCCAGAAAAATCTGCTTTCTTACAAATTCTTCCCCTACAGGTGGCCTCTGTCAGCCTCTTGCAGCTGGGCCAGGAGACCGACAAGCTTAAAACCAGAAATCGGGAATCCATTTCTCTGCTCATGCGCTTGGTATGTATCTGGTTTAAGTTGGTCTGGGAACAGAGAGCAAAGGCCAGAGGGACCCTTTTTGAGGGCTTCTGGGTCCCTGCTGTTGTCATCACTCAAAAGGATGAACTCAAAACTGAATTCTGCCTGACCCTCTGGGTCTAGGCCTCACATTCTAGTTAACATTCCAGACTTGTCCTGTAATCCCAAGGTAGAGTCTTCAATGCCTTCTCTGCAGTGCAGGGCCTTTCTGGCCCCTGGCTAACAGGGCCCTTTTACCTGCAATATTCTCAGGTCTGATCTGGTGGGGCAGCTGTGTCCCTCATCCATGACTGCCTGCCCAGTTCATGTTTGATTTTACTTGACCACTTCCTACTGCTGCATGTCTTGTCCTTAAGAAGTACTGTGGAGAGGGTGCTGAATAACACAGAGCTGAACTGTGGGAGGGGAGATGGGGGCTCAGAGGAGGGAAGGAATTTTCGACGAAGAGCTGTAAGACAGAAAGCCAGGTGGGCCATGAATCAGGCAACTCCTGCTATCTCTTTCTTCCCAAGCTGTGGGCTTTTCACTACTTTGGCAGAAAGTTCTGGGAACTCTGACTCAGTTAACTTAAAAAAATCTTTTCCTCATGACCCTGTTTTCCTCTTCAACACGCTTACTCACTCTTTCGCTCTAAAAGTCTGATTCTCCAGGTTAATGCCGCACTGAGATATGGTCTCATAGAGGCCTTCCTCTGGCCTGCGGGGAGAGGATATGCCCATCTGGAGCCGGTGCTCCACCCGGGAGTCCACACTAAAGATTTCTGGGACCTCAGAATTCTCCGCTGCAGGGCTTATGCAGAGCTTGTGCTGAGCTTCTTCCCCAAGTCCGTCCTGCTGAGGCAAACTGTGCTGCTGGTGCATATACCTCTAGTGCCAAGGGATCTCTGGCTGGAGTCTAGATGTGCAGATGGGAATTCCATGGGTGTCTGCAAAATCCCGCAAACTGGGCTGGTCCGCTCCACCCTGTTCTGATGCAGAGCTCTGAGGAGTCCAAGAATTCTGAATTCAAACCTGGCCTTTCATGAAATTATAAAGGGAGATTGTGAAGGTCAAAAAGACGGAACAAACCAGTTTGTTTGATTTATTTAGTCACATGCTATGTAGGCTTCCATTTGCACTCTCAGCCAGGCCCACAGATGTTAGGCGCAGGCATTCCTGGGACTCCCTCTGGGTCTCCCGTAAATACACAGGCCTGGAGTGGGATCTGTGTCTCAGCTAGATACAGCTGGAGAAAGGCCTCGATTGGGCTGACTAAGGATTATGATGGCGACAAGAGGAGAATGGACGTGAGGGTGTGCGTGGGTGGGGGTGTGTGGTATGGGATGACAGGGCAGGGGAGGCAGATGAGGGCAAACGCCAGGAGTATGCTAGATGTGGCACAATCTTTGGAGCAGCATGACCTTGGGCAAGTTAATTAACCTTCTGAGACGCCGATTCTTTAGCCATAAAAGTGGGCAATAATCCTTCTGACAGAGTGGTTAGGATTCATAAGAAAATATATGTGAAAGTTCCTAGTACCTAATAGATGCTCAACGAATGTTAGTCCTCTCTGCTGCTCATTTTAGTTTCTGGATGATTTAGTCGTGCTCCTTCATTTCCTTGGGCCGTTGTCGCCTCTGTAAGGTTGGTAGAGGTGATTCTGTGTTGCCCCTCAGGCCTGCCTCCTTCTGCTTTGCCGCTCTCCTCCCCCCTCAAGTGTGGGAGGCTGTCTGCCCCTGGTGACATCACAGTGAGGCTGCAGAGTAGCTGGGACACAGCTAGGACCAGCAGGCGCTTTTTGTTAGAGGGAGAGACCCAGGGACTAGTGGCTGCAAAGCAATTTAAATGCAAATGTTTCCACACAGAAATACAGGGGAAGGAACTGTGTTCTGAGTTAAGAGGCTACTCATGTAGCCCCAGGTCCTGGCCAGGCACTTCTCTCCCTGGGGTCTTTCTGTCTTGGCTGTCAAGCCTGGGCAGTGCCCACGCCCGGGACTGCCAGCTGCATCCTGGCATGGGTTTCGGGGTGGGGGGCGGGGGGGAGATGACTCTCAGAGAATCATGGAATCCTAGATGTCAGGATCAGACCAGATCCTGGCTGTTAGTCAGGTCCTTACAATTGATAGGTCAAGGAACTGAGGGGAGGGAAGGAAAGACGACATTCACGGTCTCCCCCAGAATATATGGGCAGATGTGGGATGAGCACCCAAGCTTCTCGGCCTTCGCTGTAGGGCTGTTTCCACGGCCATGAATTTCCTCCAGTTAGGAGCCTTGTGGTCCTCCTTGCTTCATGGAGCAAACAACAGGAAGTCTTGGGCCAGTGGATCCTTCTTGAGGCCATCACTCATTTCCCTGTACCTGAGGGTCATAGCCTAGAAAAGAGACCTTATCTCTCTGCTGGCTTCAGGTTTGAACGTCTTGCCTGGCAAGAAATTCCTTCTGTTATCCACCGTAAGATCCGAGCTACTGTAACTGGCAGACTTCTTTACCTTCAGCCTGCAGGGTCTGTTCCTCTGAGGCTGCTGTGTGTGTTGTGTGTGCCCGTATTTGAGAATAGTAGGATCTTCCACATTTTAAAACTTGAAAGGACTTCAGAGAGAGAACCATGTTAGAGTTGATATGGTAAATTCTCTTTCCTAAGTGAATTTTCAGGATTTGAAACACCAGACATATTGGGGAGGGCCCATCTGTGTGAATTGCCAGAAGATATGGGACACTTCTTTCCAAGGGTGTGTTTTTTAGTCCCACAACCTCTTGGATGAGGAGGGCACTGAAGGAAGCACACCCTATTCCTTCCTCAGGGATGGGGACCCTCCAGTCCAACGCTAGGTTATGGGGCTCTTCGCTAATATGCACCCCCCCACTCCGTCTCTTGCCCTCCACTGCTACCCTCAGTCTTATCCAGGCATCTTGAACTATTGTTCTGCTTGGCTTGTGGGGGCTGCTGGGATTACCACAGCACACAGGCTTCTAATTAAACTAATTAATCATGCCTGCTCCTTTATGCAGCATCCTTACTGCTCCCCAAGCACTGTACTGAGGGAGGGAGGATACTGAGACCCAGCACAAGAAGACCCATGTGGATTCCAGGCCTTTCTTTCTTGGTCTGCTGTGGTGATTGTTTCCTTCTCCATAAAGCTTCGTCATTAGCACTTTTATCCAACCTTACCTGCTTCTGTGCTGCCCACCCACATTTGGTTTGGCATCCAGAATGGGAGAGAATGGGAGTATTTCTTCCACCAGAGAAGTGATCCTTTCCTGCCTTCTGCTTCTGAGTCCTTCATGTAACCCTGATAAGGGGCCCAGGGGCCATTATAATGAAGCCGAAGAGGTCACTTTGCTTTCCTAAAGCTAAACCAAGTGTGGGAAGAAGCGGGGTTATGATTTGGAACGTTGTTCACTCATAACTCTAAGGGCCTCAGAGGGCCCAGGGAACTGAATGAAGGAACAGGGTATCACAGACGTATACCTTGCCTGAGGTTCTCATCTCTTGACCTATTCTCTTCCAGGTGGTGGAGGAGTCCTCCTTCCTGACCCTGGACATGTTGGAGTCCTGTTTCCCTTATGTCCTGCTTCGAAATGCCTACCGGGAGGTATCCCGGGCCTTCCACCTGAACCGAGTGGCAGCCAGTACCCACTGATGGGCCCTTTGGGCCTACCTAAACCCATGTAGCTATAGCCGTTTTCTCAAGGGAAGTGCTCAGGAGCCAGAGCTGCTGAACAGACACACGGAGGAACAGTCCGGGGCTGAGAAATCATAGAGAAATGGGGCAGGCTGGCTGGGGGTGGGGGTGGGGGACAGTTTTTGGGAAAAGTGAGGGAATTGGGACCACATGTGTGAATTTGTGCAATGAAAAACACGAGTGACATACAAGTATATTTTCTCTCTTGTGGTGACTAGTGCTTGAGCTCTGACTGGCATGGGTCTCTTGACCTTCATCACTATTCTAGGATAATGCTGGCGGGCAGAGATGATCAATCATCATATTAAACCATAATGAGCTTATAATCCTCCCACTGGAGCTGCTATTGTCTCTTGCACATTCATTAGGACGATTATCTCCTTTCTTCCTTTTCCAAATGTGTTCAGCAAACATTCGGCTTGCTCCTACTGCAAAGTAGTAGCAAAGGAACTCCCTTTTTCCTTTGTGGGGGCTCTCTCAAGAGTCATGGGTCTCTTCCTCTACCCCCAGCTCTACTGCCTACATGGGCAGTGAGGGAGTGCTCTTGAGAGATTTTCACTGGCCCCAGCCCCCCTCACCTGCTCTACCACACCTTGTGGGGAACCAATAAGTTCTTCCAGCTGTTTAGCTGTAACCCCTCCTGCTTTTTCTTTGACATCACTACAACCCAGAGCAGAGGGTCAGTCTAGCTAATTCTAGGTCATGTGACAACTAATTGGATCAGAGTCATGTGGGTCTCCCTCCCAGATCATTTGGGGGTACTCTCCCTCCTATCTGGAGCCACTAATTTAACCCAAATCCCCTTGTCATCCTGGGTACAGCCGTTGCTCCAGGCAGGGATTTCTCTTCTAAATCTTAAATTTCATAGACCTCATTAGATTATAGGGCCCTGAGAGTGGGTATACTTGAGGGAGTACAAGCTGTTTCAACTTAGCCCTTTTCTGTACTAATTAGAATTTCAAGTGTCACAATGCCTGGGGCGTTCAAGATAGCACTAAACTAGATTTAGTTAACTCCATGGCAGGAAACAGTGGCCCCATCCATCATTTCTGTGCACTGCACCCATGGCCAGGGAGGGCTGGAGCAACAGATCCTGTGTCACAGGTCGAGAGGGGTGGAAGTGGGCAAATATAATTAACTAGTTGATTAATTAGGGTTGTGTCCATATTTCCATGATAAGAAGGAAGCAATTGTTGGTTTTCAACAAAACCACCCAGGGTTCATTAAAGCTATCTGATAGCTGTTTTGGGACTTTGTATGCATGTTTGATCTTTATTTCTCAAGACCCAGGCTCAGTCGATACTTTTTAAACTTGGTACTCATAATCATTACACAAGTTTTTCTTAGCAACAACTGTCTGCTCTTTAGGATAGAAGCAACAGAGCATCCAGCTTCATGCATCAGCTGGTTGTCCTTCCTCACTATGGAAAAAACATTATGTTCTAAAGGAGTGATTCAGGGGCAGGCCTTTTGAGATTGAGGGCAAAGTTGATGAGGAAGGGAAGGCTCAGAAGCTTCTGAACAACTACTCCTAGATCCTCATCTCTCTGCTGGGATCTTGTTCTTGTGGAGAGGGAGACCTCTGTCCCATGCACATGTAGACCTACTTGAAAGGAGCCTCCCAGAGGATGGCAAAATAAGTTGCTGCAGGGGAATAGGGGGTAGACATGATACTTTTTTTTTTATTAAAATTTTTATCGAGAGAGGGGCGGGAGCCTGCCTTGCTCAGTCAGCAGAGCATGTGACTCGATCTCAAGGTTATGAGTTCAAGCCCCACATTGGGTATAAAGCTTACTTAAATTTTTTTTTTTTTATTGAGATGGTTAACCCACATGCATTTGTAAGAAATAACAGAGACATTGTGTGTCAACCATACTTCAACTAAAAAACAAAACAAAACAAAAAAACAACACACACAGAGAGATCTTAAGTACCTTTACCGGTTTCTCCATAGGTAACATCTTGCATAACTGTAGTATACTATCATAACCAGGATATTGACTTTGATACAATTCATGATCTAATCCAGATTTTCCCAGTTTTACTTATACTCATTCCTCTGTGTGTATGTATTTAGTTCTATACAGCTTTTAATTTTTTCTTTTTTTTAAGATTTTATTTATTTGAGAGAAAATGAGTGAGAGAGCACGAGTGGGCAGAGGGGGAGAGGGAGAGGGAGAAGAGGTGCCCTGCTGAGCTCGGGGCTTGATCATGGGACTCCATCCCAGGACCCTGAGATCATAACCTGAGCCGAAGGCAGACGCTTAACCGACTGAGCCATGCTGGCGCCCCTGTACAGCTTTTTCACGTGTAGGTTTGTACATCTGCCACCACCATGGTCAAGATCCACAAGGATCCCTCATGCTGCTTTTTTACAACCACATCCCCTTCCCCTTCCCTTGCCCTTGGCAATAGAAATCTGTTCTCTTCTAAAATGCTGTCATTGGACATAATATCTTTTTACAAACATGTAATCACACATTTCTCTATTATGTATACTTTTCCAAAGTGCTCTCGCTTTCCTTATGACAATTCTGCAAGGTAGCCAGGGAAGGCTTCCATATTTTAGGCCAGTAAACAGATTCAGAGATGCTCAATGATTTAATGAAGGTCACATGTTTAGCAGTATTCCAGAACTGGGACCCAAGTCTGATATCAATCTTAGACACTGTCTACCTGACCAGACTGCCTCTTCATCTGGGAAGACTTGTTCATTAGAATCCAGAGACTCTAGAATGAGTAAATAGGAGAAGGTGAGGATATGGTGGCCTTACTGAGTGAGGGACAGGTGGGGCTAGGTAGGGAGAGATAGGTAGGGGCCTGTGGGATCAGGCTTACAAAAATCCCCAAAATGTGGAGGTGTAAGGAAACCAGAGATAAAGAAACAAAACCAGACCACCCCGTCCTAGGTGTTAGAGGTGGGGGTCTTGTTATAACAGCTATTTGTGACCAAAAAAGAATTACCAGACCCTAAAAAGGAAGCAAGCCATTGAAGGTGTTATCACTAGTCCTTACTCAATGGTGCTATCAGTAGAAATGTTAAGAGGATTTAAGTTCCCTGGTTAGCCTTCAAGGAAAGACCAACCCTAAAAGCCCTCAGTGGCAACCCTGTTGGGACCCCTTTTGCTCCCGAGAGCTCTTTCTGTATCCTCACTCAATAAAACTCTATCGCTTTACTCACTGTCCTTGGTCAGGGCAAGATTCATTCTTCAACTCTGTGAGACAAGAACCTCGTTCTCCCACTTCATTGCCACCTGAAAAAAAAGGAGAATGTCTAGAGGTGAAGGGACAGATGCGGTGACAGGACCCATCAACGTTTTCAGCAATATGCTTCCTTGACCAGGAGGGTCTCTGACCCCTGACAGCTGGGGACACAACCACTGATCCCCAGCTTGTTTTATTCAGACCTTAAAAGGAAGTGAGGAATGACTATCAGGAAGAAGTTCTGACTCCAGTTGTTTTGTCTCGCAGGCAGAGAGTAGGTTCCAGCCTCAGCTTTTTCATTAGTGCAGTGTTTTCATTAAAATCTCAATTAACTTGTTTGTGGCAATGAGATGGAATTATCCCTCCTGCCAGGCCTGGGGTGAGATGCTTGCAGAGGAGCTCCCTTTCCTTCCGGCAGTGCTTTCCCTACAGTGGTGTTCATTTCGGGGGGGGGGGGGCAGGTGGGGCTGGGGCCTGGCCGAGGGGGATCTTACCCGGTGGCCCTTTGCCTGGGAGGACTAGACCGGCTTCGATCTGAGCCCGGGGCCCAGGAGGGAAGGAGGTACCAGCTAGGGCTAAGACTTCCCTCCTGTAGGTCCTTGTGCCTCTCTCAGTTCTTTTCCAACAAAGTTTGACTCTGAGAAGAAGCTGGCACGTGGCTGAAATGCACTCACGAGGTTGGGGGAAGAGTGTTCTTCCAGCTCTCCCCCCCACAGGACCTCCTGCTCCTCCTAAGTACCTGTCATCAAAAGAGACAAAGATGAATCCCCCCTCAGCCCCCACACCTCAGTGAGTTGTCAAGTGCTCTCCCTCCCACCTGAATAGGAGCGCAGGCCAGGTTGCAGGTTGAGGAAGTCAGAAGTTAACTTGAGCTGGGTTTGCAGCTCTGGAGGGATTGAGGAGCAGGCTTTTTCTCTTGTCACTTTGGAAGGCGAGGATTGTGAGGCCGCCCCTTTAAATAGCATTCCCGTAGGAGGCACATCACATCCATCCGTCACTGCTGCCAAAGCATCATTTTTGGTCTCTATCAAACTCAAAGCTTGTTGGGAGGAATTGTGGGGTTAGGGGAGTGAGGAGGCAGGGTCTCCAAGGGGCAGGGGCAGTTTGGAAGGCAAACAGGAGAGGAATGAGGCTGGCAGAAGCAGCCTGGAAAAGAGGGGGGTTAGGGCAAGGGGACAGGGAGAGAAAAATCGTGGTCTTTTGAGCCTATGGATGGAGCAGGCATATCTGGTTTTTATCCGTGTAGAGGTAGGGTAAGGCAGACATGGGATTAAATTGCCGCAAGAAGGATGCGGTTGAGGTTAAACACCAGGACTGGTAACTAAAGAAGGAGAAAGAGAGCCACAGGATGGAAAAGCACAAGAAAAAGGTTAGGAGGCTTGGCTCTGGCTTTGTTGCTTACTCTCTTTGGGGACCACATGATTTTTCTGGGCTTAGTTTTCCCACTCGTTAAATGGAGGGGGTCAGACTAGATGGACTAGAAAGTATCTTTCGTGAATAACTTTTTGTTTTGTTTTGTTTTGGTGAATTTTCCTTTCTTAAAATGGGTTAGGAGTTGGGGGCCTGGGAGATCAGGGTGGGATATGCCACTGTGTTGATGAGACCTGTCGAGATCCCTCTGGAAGTACATCATCTCCCGCCTCTTTTCCACCTCTTTTTTGTTTAAATACCTGCCTAATTTGGGCAGCTCCTTAGCTCTGATCCTAATTTGCAATTCTTTTGTCGTTTCCAGCCCATTCTTTTTCAGTTGTTAAGGAAGGTGATTGCTCTCAAGTTTAAGAAGTGGATTGTGTAGGAGTCTGACTGGGGTCTCAGCTGCAGCTTGGTCTTGGCTGGGGCTCTTCCTCAGGCACGGAGGGGAAAGGGGGATGGACGCAGAAGCTAGATGGACAGAGACAGGGAAGTCCCACACTCATTCCGCTTTTTCTCCATCTCTGACTCTGCCATCTCCTTCTGCCCGGGTACTTGCTGGGAGCTGGTTCTGCTGATACCTCTCTGTCCTGCCAGGTCTGAAGGCCTGACCTAACCTAATTACCTAAAGGGCGATTCTTTTATGCTGGAAGTCTTTGCCCTGCCACTTCACTTCTGCTCTTTTCTCCTCCATTGCCTGGGAAGGGGAGTA